TTATTTAATAAAGCAGCATTGAAGAAAATGTCTAATTGTTTGTTTTTTTATTTTATAGATGCCCTAAGAAATGACCATAGGAAAAATCAAGGGTCTGAACATCTGTTGTCATACCCATGTGTATAAAGACAGACATTTGCTTAGAATAAACGCATGCGTTTTGAAAAACTGTTTGTACCACAAAGTAGACAACTTATCGAAAGATTTAATTAAATACTTTGAAGAGTGGGTTAGGTGGGGGAGGCTGGATGGTTGAAATTAAAACTGTCTAAATAGAATGTAATCTTACTGTTATAATTTGGATATATCAACAAAGTCGAAATGGTAAAATGGCCACCGTAACGATTACAAAAGCTGACGTTTCGAGCGTTAGCCCTTCGTCGGAGCGAATAGAGGAATTGTGGGTTGTGTGTGCTTTTAAAGGCAGAAAATGGAGCTACGTTACTGGTGGCAACATGGCAACGAGAGATAGTGAGGGGAAGATTGTAATCGACATGTATATTAAAAGATTGTATTGTAATAGTGTACTGGAAAATTAAAACTAAAATTAGGGGTCGTTCCGTCCACAGAGATACAGTGTACCTGCCAAATAAAGACAAATCAACCAATTACTCATTTTATATTAATATTCCTTCCTAGCTGGATCTAGTAATAAATCAATTACTTTTAATTACAATCAAAATATAGCCACAAAATTCAAAATTTTCTTTCAACTATTCAAAAAATCTAGGTCAAAGGTTAAATACATTCTAAAACAACCAGCTTGACTTAACATGACATTCCTCATCAGAGTTTAGCGTTAATGTGCAGACCAAGTTAACAAATAATCCAGCAAGGTTTCGCTTTAATTTGTGCATCTTGTCCCTCGGTAATCAAGTAGCTGGCTTCTCCAACATTTCAGGGATAACACAAACGAAAATTAAGGCTAACAACTTACTCCAATTTTCTCCCGATATTCATTTGAAAACTTGCAAGCAAACCGTCATCAAGGCTACTTCACTTCTTAGACTTCGTCTTCGCTTCCTGATTTTCACCTGGAAGAAAAAGAGTTTATAAAAGATATGACGAAATGGAAATTCTGATTCCAACGACAATAAAAAGTGAGTTAACTAATACAGAAAAGGTAACAGGTGCTGTTCACGCAAACCCTTCGCCCGCTTTGCAGGTTTGATCATTTGGCGCAATGATTTAGTGTAATTAAAATGAAATCTTCAAAGCAAAAGTTCAAATGAAACCTGGGTTGTGCAAATTTTCCATCACCATTGTTTTTCGTTCCCGGAAAAAAAAATGCGTTTGATATATATTAATAGGAAAGGATAAACTTTTCTGTGAAATAAGAACGATGTAAAACGAATGGTTGAAGGCTGAATATTGGCTAAGAAAATCACAAATCTGTGGAAATACCAAGACATTACAAGCAAACTGTTACCTTCCTCTCAGATGTCCTTTAGGTCCAACCCTCTTGCTTGAATTTCATGACGAGATGAGCTATTTAAAATTTCCTGGTTGGAGTACGCGACGAGGCTAGATTTTCATGACCAGACGTCTTGCTTTGAAGTGCGAGTGCTTCCTTAATCTGGAAATAAAAAAAGAAAAACATCACAATAATGAGCCCTGCCGATTTTACAAAGGAATACATTGCTACATGTAACATCATCGTCTCAAATGAGCATGTCTTAACAAAGAGGAGTGAATTTTCTCTTTTCGAAAGTGTCAGAAGATTACTCTGTACTCCATCAAGTGACTGTTCGGTGTTCATTAGGGAGACATACGCAGGAGTTCATCATGGGGGATTCCCCTATCAGCGCCTTCAGAAGGGCCTTTCTTCCCGCACCTTTTCTCTATGACAAACATGTCAGTGACACCTAACCAGTATCATAGAGTACATGCATTTACGCATAAACAGTCTAAAGTATCGTCTCCGAAGAAGGGCAATTTCCTGGTAAAAGACTAATAGGGATGTGCCGCTGATCGAAGTCGCGTTTTCACGACTGGATTGTCTCTAATGGAGCCGTATTAAGAGTTGTATCAAAAGAGTTACTAGAATCAGGGTTCGTACACTTTTTCAGGCCAAAGATTCAAGGACTTTTCGAGGACTTTTCAAGGACTTTCCAGGACCCTACTTAGAAATTTCAAGGACTTTTTGTAATGACAATTTTACCTCAAAACCAAGAAAACTGTTTCTGTTAACAACTATGTTTTAGGTTTACCGATGTTGCAAAACAAAAGCAGATATTTTTCGATGTTGTTCAATAAAAAATCAAGGACTTTCAAGGACCCAAAACGAAATTCATGTACTTTCAAGGCCTTGAAATCGGCCTCCTGAAATTCAAGGGTTTTCAAGACGCGTACGAACCCTGTAGAATGGAGACGCACATTCTCAGGATTTTTTTTTCGGGGGGGGGGGGCAGGAACATTCCGGTTTAGAGGAATTAAAAAAAATTGACCTACTTAAAAGGCTTTAAAAAGTAGATATATAAACAGTTGGGATCGCGAAAATTTCATTTGCCCAAAAGTGACAAAGATGGGGTCTATAATTAGCCACAAAATAAACAAGAGGGTGCAAAAATAAAGCCCAAGTATTCCCTCCCCAGTATAGTCTACAATAGATGGAATTTATTTCACTAATTTACATCATTCCTCCACCAAGGGTTGGTTCAAGGGTTTCAAAAACGACTCACAAAAACAAGGTGAAATAAATCACGCCTGCACAAGCCTAGATTACTTTGGAAACCTAGCAATGAAAATTGCTCTACTCGAGAAAAAAAAAAAAAAATTACTTCTATTAATTTTAATAAGAAACATCAGTTGTGTAGTTAACAGTTCAGTGTGCATCCCAACATGATATTTGAATCCAGGAATACAAACAAGGAAATAATATCTCAATATTCAATCTTTATGGTAACTTTCAAATTGAATTGCACAATACTGGGTTGAATGCAAACAAACTCCTATTGTTTACAGGCATTTTTTTTATATTTGGCAAAGTGAGTGGAACTTTGCTGTATCAATCAAAGAGAATTCCTCACATAATCTCCAAGGGCAAGGGAAATATATTCACCCAATCAGACCACAAAAGAATTAAGGACCAGAGCCTTACATAGCTTTTTACCTTTTTTCGTGGACCAAATCTTTGCATCTCAGAAAGAGATTTGTTAGGTGAATGTGTCTCCACTCCAGATCAACTGTTAAGTGACCTGTCTCTTCTAAACAGTTCAAGATCCATTCAGCCCAGCAAGACAGTTTTCAGACACTTCTCTCTGTTGTTTGGGGACCAAGTCTTAGCATCCCAGATCAAGACTGAGGAAGAGACTATGTAGGTGAGGCCAACTCCGTTACAGGTCAGCTGTTAATCACCCACCTCTTGTACACAGTTCAAGATCCATTTAGTACAACAAGACAGTCCAGTTTCCAAAACAGTCTNAAACAGTCTTCACACACTTCTCTTTGTTTTTTGGGGACCAATTCTTAGCATCCCAGACCAAGACTGAGGAAGAGACCATGCAGGTGAAGCCAACTCCATTACAGGTCAGCTGTTAGTCACCCACCTCTTGAACACAGTTTAAGATCCATTTAGCACAACAAGACAATCCAGTTTCCGAAACAGTTTTCACACACTTCTCTTTGTTTTTTGGGGACCAAGTCTTAGCATCCCAGACCAAGACGGAGGAAGAGACTTTGCAGGTGAAGCCAACTCCATTACAGGTCAGCTGTTAGTCACCTATCTCATGTACACAGTTCAAGATCCTTTCAGTGCAGCAAGACAGTCTAGTTTCCGAAACAGTTTTCACACACTTCTCTTTGTTTTTTGGGGACCAAGTCTTAGCATCCCAGATCAAGACTGAGGAAGAGACTTTGTGGATGAAGCTGACTCCATTGCTGGTCAGCTGTTAGTCACCAATCTCTTGTATACAGTTCAATATCCATTTAGCCCCAGCAAGACAGTCCAGTCTTCAAAAGGCCCTGAAATGTAGCAAAAACAGTGCATCATGAGTTTAGCAAACTAAAAATGCATGCTGTTTTACCAGAAAACACAAGCAATTATCTCGCCTTTTCATGTCGGGAAATTCATGCCAAGTTATACTAACTCACAAATCAACTTAGACATAGTTCTTAAACTAGTTGGGAGTTTAAACATTAATTTCAAGTTCTTCCATTTACTTTTAGGTTACTGTTGTAATTTGCCTTAGAAGTGTACGAAGTCTGAGGTGATAATATTTCACCTAAATTTCCAAAATTTTTTAAGACAAGACAAAGCCCTTTACAACTTGAAGTATCATAGCTCAATTGGTAGAGCCTCGGTTTGGTATCACAAGAGTTGTGGATTTTAATGGCATCCTTTGCCAATTGCACAATTTGATGATTATACAGGGAAGATATGATCATTACTCTGAGTCAGTTGTAGATATTTGTTCCTGTGATTATCATAATTTTATTCACAAGAAAAATGGAAAACTAATCAAAAGAAAGTTTCTCTGGGATCAGAAGAATGATCTTATTTCCAAAGTGAATTGGTCATTATCACTGGTCATAATCTACCAGCAAAGCTGAGGACATGGGCGGAGGGGTTGGAGAGAGTGAGGAAGGAAAAGGAAACAGCCCAAGTTTGAGAGAGGGGGTCAGGCTTAAAATGAACCCCATTTGTTCCAACACATGATAAAGGGGACCAATTGATATCTTGTACAGTGTGAGAATCAAGCAGGGTTCTTTAGATACCGTATTTACCCATGTATAAGGTCCAACTTGTGTACAAGTCCAAGAACTGTAAACATAATAAAGTCCCAAAGTCGCCAAAGTCGCCTTTCTTTTCTTTATCTGAGAACAGGGGTCACGAAATTTAAGACCTAAGACCTAAGACCCCTTGAAAACTAAGATCCCTCAGGTTCAAGATTTAGGTTTTTGCACTTGAAAAGCACCGTAAAACTAAGACCCCTGTTTGAATCCATGGCCACTTACAGTGCAATTAAATAACCCTACTCTTGAATACAGTGAAAGGCCGTTTTGACTATCATGCTAGAAAATTTTGCTTTTGCAGCAAAGAAAAAATCAAAAGACCCTTCAAAAATGCACTCTGAACATTGAGCACTGTTAAATGGCCCCTGTGATTCTATATATTGTTTTCCCTTTTTTATAGCTGCAATCCGTCCATTGCATGATTGGTTGCTTGACGGCTGTATAGGTTTTCAATCGTCTTCCAATGCCATTTATATACCATTGATGCAAATTGTAATTTGCACCAGGCTAAACATTTTCCTGAAAAACATCTGCCCAAAAATATGAATAAAGGCTGATAGTTTTGAAAGAAACTGTTTGGGGCTGCGTCAGTGGGGTTAACGAAATAATTTGGATATATCAACAAAGTTGAAATGGTAACTTGGCCACCGTAACGATTACAAAAGCTAATGTTTCGAGTGTTAGCCCTTCGTCGGAGCAAATAGAGGAATTGTGGGTTAAGCGTGCTTTTAAAGGTGGAAAATGGAGCTACGTTATTGGTGGGAAATATTCCAAAATATGAATACATGTAACCCATTTATCTCAGTATCCAAGAGAAATTGGATAATTGGAATCCTTGTAATGGAAGGAAAGAAATTAGCCATGCTACCAATTTCTACTAATTTTGGCATTACCGGTAATTAATAATTTTTGTAATCATTTCTTTGATAGACATCCTTCAAGCACTGCTGCGAAGCCTTAATTAGGCTATGAGGGCCATTTGCATCAGCCTTCTTTTGTTAGAAATAACAGGAACCTTAAGAAATTTGAAGCAATAAGTTCACTAAAGCAAAGCCTAGGAATCTTGCAAACAAAAACACAAGGAAAAGGTATTTGAAAAATAAGGTAATTGTATTATCTCATAAGGATAATAAAGTATTTAAAGAACAGCATCCACTGACGTTCAGTCCCTATTGTACATCAGGTAGAACGGTCTTTCCCAAATTCCTAACAGGTCTTGTGATAGCAAACAATTCTAGGTATTGTGGTATGGGCGCCATACCAATGTTTAATTTTGCAGCTCAGTGGCCTGCATGTAAACACCTCAAGTAAAATTCACGATCTCCCAAGTTGTACAGCCTCCCAGTTAGCTCAGTTGGTTAGAGCACTGGACTGTTGTGCGGGAGGTCGAGGTCGATGGTTCGAGCCCCAGCGGGACCAACACTCAAGGTCTTAAAATAACTGAGGAGAATGTGTTACCTTCCTATAATATCAAGAATTGGATATACATTCTTGTCTTTTCAGATAAGGACGAATAAACCGTAAGTCCAGTCTCCTGCATCTATTAATTAGTTAATTTGGTTAGGCAGGGGACGTTAAGGAACCCACTCACGAGATTACTGTGATGTGGTCTGGCCTGTTTACTGGGAATTGGGGGGGAGGGGGCATCTTCAAATAAGTTTCCTTCGTTTGTTTGTAAACTACTGATGCAGTCCGGCCAAAGTCCCCCGAAAAGTGTTGTGATGCGCATTTGATCATATCCACAGGTTAATTTGCACAATATAAATATTAAATATTAAATTATTAATTATTATTATCTCCTCCAGGTTGTACAGATCACCTTGGCTTCTTCTTTCTTTTAAAATATCCCGTACCCAAAAGTTTTTCAATGGGTCTTAGTTTTCGAGGGGTCTTAATTTTCGAGGGGTCTTAGTTTTCGAGGGGTCTAAGTCTTTGGTCTTAGGTTTCGTGACACCAATCCGAGACTGTATAAACAATGAAGTACGGGACTGTGCGGAAATCTTTCCGTCGACTGCCATAATTGAGAGCATAAATCTTAATATGCCTATACTGTTGTAAATACATCCTTAAACTGAACATAGATGTCATAAAAGCGAGAAAGTCTTACCTTGTTGGGTGCACACAAATCTTTCTGATCAAGGTCATCGCTTTTGCACTGACATGCACCTTGACCTCAGCCTGCAAACCAAGTGAGTTAAGTTAACTTAGGTTTACTTTGAAGTAATTTAACGTTCTGGGCCCTTAAAATAGAAAACATACCTACGCAAATCGCAGAACTGAGTCGATTCAGTTATCTTCTCTGGACACATTGCCCGGACATTGCACCATGGCCGCCATTACTGGCTGTTACTTGCAAAGGCTGATGGGACGTGTCAGATTTCTTCCGCCTTCATGGCCTCACTCCAGTGAGGGAAATACGAGAGAGACGAGCAAAATATTTCAGATGATAGAGTACGAAACGTTCGCATGCGGTGCATTTTAACCTAGCCTATATCTGGCGTCCAGTTAGTTAAGTGCAACTAGATTGTAAACGGTGTAATAGCAAGCGAAAAATGAGAGTGGCCTGGTTCAGGTCGCGAAACATTGTGGCTGACGTAATGCAAGAAAGATGCCAGTCTTGCCTTGGAAGGCTGCGTTGCGTGTACGTCCCTCAGAAGATGTTGTCCACGAGCAGAATTAAGCTTGGGGTCCCCGTTGGGGAGGGCAGGACTTTACCTCTTGGCGATGGACGTCGTCTTTTGTTTGCTATCTATAGCGTGATTTACTAGTGTCTCCAGACGCTTTGAGACGACCAATGTACCGGCTGTAAGCACGGAGGAATTAACAACTCGATGAACTGATCAGTATTGATATTCTAGAGGAAATAAGAACAGCATGGGAATAACCTTGATAGTCAGTCGCGCAGTTCGAAATATGAGTAATTCCTCACAAGTACAATTCAAAATTCTTTCATATTCCATTTATTTCCTTCATATTCCATTTATTTTTCTAGGTCTTTCAAATCACGTATTAGAGAATGGAATGCGACAACAGACAACTCATGTTACACCTTAAATGCAAAGTAAGCATGACGATTTAACTTGCATAATAACATAACAAAAATAATTAGACAATCAATATACCATACACATAAACAATTTGATATTCTATGCAATTAGTTCCTTTCCACGAAATAACTATTTTTATTATGTTGTACTTGTTGGAAAAAACTAAACTATCCCACGCTGTAATCCACTCTACGTCCTTTTCTTCTTTGCAGGCTCAAACTTATGCGCCAATGCACATCGTTAAAATAAAAGAGCTCGAAAAGAGATCTAAAGTTGGACAAAGAAAGGATTGCATCCAGGTTCTTAAAGTATACCTACGATTTCACAAAAATACTACAATTCCTTGATCTTTCATTACAACAGATGTTCATTTTCTTTTGTAACTCGTGTTTCTGCCTTAGGAGTCGAAAAATGGTAATACATACATAGCTGCACAGGCCTCAAGAAAAAAATTACATCCTTTCTTAAATAAACCACTAAAAAAAGGTTTTGCCCTAAGGAAGCTTCTTTGAAAGTTTGATGTCTTTCCTAAACTCATTCAAAAGGGATCTTAAGTAAAAAATAAAACCTTCGCCTGTTAGCAAATGACAATTCTTAACCAAACAATATTACCCAAATATTCATCATTGTCACCACCTAATAAACCTGATCTAAGCGATAACTGCTTAGAATAACCTACCGGGATATCTCTAGGATATTCGGCTTTACCGGAGCCCTCCTGTTAATCACGCAATTCAACGCATTCCGTGATCGGTTATGGTCACAACACATATTGACGACAGCGTGACCAACCCAACATTACGTTATGTTACGAACGATTGCTTAAAACAACGATAGGGAAGGAAATACTTATGAAATCTAATTATTCAAGTTTAATTATCCTTAATCAACTTTTCCATATCGTACAACACATCCAACAAGCAGCCGACAGACCACCCTTGTGCTGGGCAGCCATCATAACACGGAGCCCCCCCTGCATTTGTAAGTTCTGGTAGACTACGCCATGGGGAGCTGGTTATCTCTACTTTGTGTCTTGCCAGGATGCTCTTTACACGCACAACCGCCAGTTCCAGTCCCTTTGGACCATGAAGTTTTTTAGCGAAATACAGCCGAGCTCTTAAGAAAGGACCTGTGCACCAGAGCCATTCCTACAAAATAACGATAAAAAGATTTGATTTCACTTTCAGATGTGGGTAATTTTATTATTTTAAAACGATTAATCTAAGTATTTTAATCTTGTTCGGTTCTAATTTTTCAATGCAGTAAAATATCATAGTGCCCCTTCTTTCGGACACCTCTTTTCTGGCGAAAAAACAATTGGGTCCACTTCTGAAGGGGTTCCTCTTTTAAAGAACATCTAATCCTTGAGTTTTCCCTAATCTACGTTTCTATTGTACTTATTTATTCCATACAGTGTCGTTGTCAAACAGCGCGTCACTTAATTTACAAGCCCGGCAAAGTTGCAAAAACTCCAGTTAACAAGACTGGTTCTCATGAGCCAAGAAGAGACTTCCCAAGTTTTTTTCATGACTTAATATTTAAGTACTTTTCTTTTTCCTCGCTACAAAGACGTTCAATCCATTCTTCACTTTCTCTATAACGCCCTCCTCCTTTAGGGCGGAGGGGGTGGGGAAGGGGTTGGGCAGCAAGCAGACATATAAACACAATGACACAGTGTTTATCTCGATTTATAGAAACAAATCCGTCTTACAAATATCCAATTATTGACTGACTCACCGGGCCTTGGTGATAAGCAAATCCCTTTGCACTCTTATATGAGGTGGAGTCTTGCGAGTTGTCATAAACTCCTTCATACGCCCAGTCACTGAAACAGAAAGAAGTAAAATCAACTTTAAAAAAAAATAACAAGGATAACCTTACAGGCAATCAACAGCAGTGAATAATACGCGTGGCACCCGCAGATTGGTACAACAAAGGCTATCATCCACCCACCCCTCGACTATGCTCTCTACCCTGCCTAATTCGTCTTCCATATTCCTTTACGCTTTTAGTGTTATACTGAGTGCGGAAGTTTTCATCAGGTTTTTTTACGTTTTTGTTGTCACAGATGAATACGATTATGTTACCTGGGATCCAATGTAGCCATGCCTAGTGGACCCAGGAGAATTTCCTCCACCATGTCCAGACATTTCCACGCATGCTCAGGGTTAAACATCTCTGGAGCCTGAAATATAAGGGAAACACGCGGCAAATCAGGCTATATTCATTTATCGCACGTAACTGAACCACCTGTTTAATAAAAAAAAAAACCTTTTTCCCTAAGATCACCTTGGCATCCAAGATCTAAAGGTTAACTCTCCTCACATGTGACTATCTATTTACTTGTTAGCTATATTTGGGAATTTCTTTTCAATCAAGAAAATATCATAACACCTTAGCAAACCGTTTTTCAAATTCTCACTGAGTCACCTTCTTTGCAACGATGGTTTTAAATTATAAGGATTAATTAAGCCCTGGTTAAATCTTGAGGGCAACGGATGCAGCGAAGTAATACTGACAAGGATGTAACAGTTTATGGAGGTTTCGACTCATCGCAAGTTCCCCTTTTACCAGTTCATCCCCAACACGGCCAGTTGGCTCCATCAATTATAACAAGATTTCAAAGCGAACTGGTATAAGGAAGGGGAAAAATTGTTGTATAGCATTAGGAGACCTAGAAAAGATGAGGGCGAACTTGCTATGCGGCGAGACCTCCAAACACCGAACTTTAACTTACCACAACCATAGCCACACACAAATTAGGCCTGAACTGGTAATCAGTGAATCTGTGAGTAGCTCCTACAGTGTCTTTGTAAATTCCTCTTCTGTGCACCAGTTTGTCTTCATCCCCTTGTTGCTTTTTATCGTTAGGATCTTCAGGTATCCAGAAATGTTTCTCAAATGCATCCTGAATCTTCATGTTCCACTCCTTGTAAGATAACTCTACGGGAAAACCTTAAAAGGTGTAAAGTTACGCCTGTAAATGAAGCGAAAGTAGAGCTCCTATTCCGCTAATCAATTTTTCAATTAACTTGAAATAATTGATGTTAAAAGAAAATTTTAAGTTAAAGAATTACACCATGAAAAACTAACGTCTATCAACTCTCCGACCCCAAGAGTGACCAGCATTTCATTTCTATATCCTTGCATCCGGGTTTTGGCTTAACATCGCTCTGTGATTGGTCCAGAAAACTCGCGCCACCTACTCGACCAATCAGATTTAAAACCAATCGAAATTTTGACCCTCACGTTTTCCCAAGTTTCATGCAGGTTGTCTGCTTTAATTTGGAGTTCTAATTGGCTAATGATGACGTCAACCTTCGCTCCGATTGGTTGTTGTAATTACTTTGGTTTTGCTGTGACGAAACTCAAGTGAAAAACTACTCTAATACCGTGACATCCAAGGTTGATGACAAAGATACCCCTTTTAAATGCTTAAAATCCATTTAACGGAGAGTTTCATTGACAAACGGATGTATCAAGGAACTTTGCATGCAGTGAAGAATAAACATACCATCTTGAAGTTTTGAAACGCCCGCATATGGAAAGTTCTTTTGATCACACAAGTCAGCTAACCAGCGCACGGTTGACTTACAAAGACCCACTATCTCGACAGCGCTGCCGTCCCTAAAACACAGAGTATTCAACAAAATCAAGCTAAGAGCTACTCCAATTACTTTTTTCACTAGTTCAGCGAACTATTTCGACTCGAACAATTTGAATTTACTGTGCGATGTTCAACTCTTGAGAACTGACTGACTGGAAAATTCTACCAGAAACAACGAGAAGCTTTCAAAGTGTGCACACTAAAGCTCCCACAACATGTAACATCTCCTTATAATATCTATGAATTATCGGCAAACAGGTAATGAGAATACTCAGACTTATCAGGTAGTTGGAACCTTGATCTAACTAATTTACAAGGAAATGTGTAGCAGCTAGTGGGAAGAATTCTCAGTAAAACCTCGGGAGTTAAAGGATGAAGACTTTGGGGATTAAATAACAGACCTTTAAATCCTATAGAGAGACCATCAAGAAGCACGAGATGAAAGCAAGTCACAAAGTTTTTAAAGTTCATATTTTTTCTAGGGGAAAGTAACCTTCTCTTCAGACACCAATCGAAATCATTCAAGCAACAGACTAAAAACAAAATAGGTCGGTTGTGAATTTTTTCCCCCCAGGACACGTTCCTTCCCCCATAAACATTAAGCATAGTATATACCTGGGAGTGGCAGGCACTCCAAAGTTTCCCGCCAAACGAGATTCACCAACTTTGTCCATCCATGTCCCAGCATTCCACTGGCTCCCACCATAGACAAACCCAGTTCTCTCTTGAACACCCACAGAGACGTTGAACCCTGCTTCATGCATGTGATTGTCCAGCTCGGACCCAGCTCCCCGCTCACGGAAACTGATACCGTTGAAATGGCGTTGCATCACTTCCTGTATCACGTCATATAGAGGCTGATCCTGCAAAAGAAACGGAAGGTAAGTTAAACGTATTCTTCCGGTTTGACGGGCAGTGTGACATCTACAAGACTGCAACCAAGAATGTGCATGCCTGCGAATTCGTTAAGATCATTAGAAATTGGAGTGAGATGATTTATGCGGCGTATTCGAGAGAAAGGTGAACATTTTACAGTTTTGCAGGTGAAAAAAAAAAGGTGTTTTAACAAAAAAGTTAGCTTAAAATGTATTTGACTTACCGTTTTGCCTGGCGGCTGCGGATCACAACAATCCGAGGGGAAGATCCTGGAGACTGGATCCGACAAGATCTTCAGTCCATCCGGGACAATGGAGCAATAATCCTGAATACACTGGAGCCACCACCACGGAGCGTCCCTACAATTATAACGGGGCTTGCGTCCGCCGTCCAACAGGTTGGGAATGAGGCCATGGCGGACACATCCGGCGAAGGCTAAGATATGATGTCTGCAATAGTCCAAGATTAGGAAAAATTGCGTCAACTTACCACAAGCTCAGAGCATATTTCGATCGAGTGTCGTAAAACCAGAACCAAAGTAATCTCGACAACTAATCAGAACAAAGGAAAAATATCAGGAGCCAACGAGAATCCATGATGAAAACAACCCAACTGCCTAAAGCGCGGGAAAACGCGGGTGACCAAGTCGCGATTGGATGTAGTTTGAAATCTGATTGCTTGAGGAATTGGCTGGAGTTTTACGGACAGGTTAGCTTTCACATAGCAAAACAAAGCAATTCCAGAGTAATTTTCGACACTCAGTTGAAAACTGCTAAAACAAATTCACATACGACAGATAAATGTGCTTCTTAACTTACGTACCTAGCATCCTGGTACCTGCCCGTTACAAGTAATAAACCTCTAAGTGCAATAAACGTATCTCTCCCCCAGCAGCGCATGAAACCAGAAGAAAAATGAGGCAAACCAGCCGCTAATGACATCAGAGTTGGCATCTCGGCCCCAGATGATGGACCATGGTACAGCTGGGGCGACAGAGCTGGAAGCGAGGCTGTCCGAGACAGGCCGACGAACTGGAGCGAGCCAAGTGAAAGGGCTTTGAGGAATGATGAGCCATTCTGAACAAAACTGAAAAAGGGAAAATTTTAGAGTTGCACAGAGGGAGAAGATACCACACGAAATGAACTTCAAAGCATCTTTAAGGCACCTAACAAAACTTCAAGAAAAAAAAAACAAACCTTGACATCTGGCCCCAAGCTCGATCCAGCAGTTTAAGATAAAGAGGGGTGATGATGGCGTCAAAGTAACACGGCACCAGATATCTTGGACATTCCTTGATCAGACTGAAAACCTTGTCAAGCCATACACCCAGCTACAGGTATAATCACAGCGGATACTATAAGGTATCATACAATTACAAAAACAAAGTCTTTGGAAGCTTTTATATGCCAAGTGCCAACTAAAGAACAAAATATTTTACAATCTTTGTATCTACATTGAATCATTATAACTGCAATTCAGAGTTCTTGCCTCAAACCTTAATACCCTAACATCAGCATGCACATTCTCCATATTGTTCTCTATACATTTCCTAAGGTGCTGACAAGGAGAATTTAGTTAACCACCAGGAGCTTCTTTAGCTGGTGATCATTCCCTTTATTCTCAAGAAATTCATGTAACTTTGGGGTGATACTGTAAGCAGAAATTAAATGCTGTTCACGGACCTGTCTTGTGCCAACAAAAGGAAGAAGTCTTCCCACAACGTAATCCAACAACCAGTTTCCTTCTCGCAGATTTCTACACAGAGGGTGAGCGAGATCATCAAACTGACGGACATTGGCCAGTATTGATATTACACCTGTAGAAAATTCAAAAAAACAACAGAAAATAAACTGGGTGAGTTCCTAAAGAAACTGCGCCGCAGCGTCGGTAGGGGATATTAAAAGAAAATTTGGTTTCTTCATCGGAGTTGATAACGTAAACTGGCCATCGTAAAGAATTTCTTAAGCTGATGTTTCTAGCGTTAGCCCTTCGTTAGAATGAATGAAGGAATTGTGGATTGTCTGTGGTTTACATGCAGAAAGATGGTGCTGTATACTATTGGTGGGAACATGGTAAGGTTAAAAACACAAAAAGAATTTGTTAAATGAAAAGCATTCGTCGATACCGTGGTGATTAAGAGTGTTATTTAATTTTTTTTTTCTAGAGTTGTGGGGCCTTCCAAACTGCCTAGAAGTAGGGAAAGCCGCAGACTGTCGAAGCAACAAAAGGCAGTACCAAACAGTACAAAACAAAAAACAACAAAAAAAAAAAACAGATAAAAACTATACACAAAAATCAAAGTACCCCAAAGAGTGCAGAACCTCGCTCGCATCTCTGAGACAACACTTCCTTGATGCAAACTCTTACATTGAAATCGTTTGACACTACTCCACTTAAGATGGCTTTCTCTCAACAACTCGCTTAGTACATCAGGTTCAGCGGTCAGCGGTCAGCGGTCAGCGGTCAGCGGTCAGCGGTTAGCGGTCAGCGAAGATTGCGGAATTAAAAATGTAAAATGCCTCTTTTCTGACCTTATATTTATTTTCAATTAATATATGGTGGTCACCCAACTAGTTTAGCTCTTTAGTTATTTTGGGTGACCAGCGACTGTGTGTATTTTTAATTTATTTCTCGTTTAATTTGTAACTAAGGCAATTTCAAATAATCCTCGTCTTGTCTTACATAACCCAATAACATTCCTTTAATTGGAGAATAAACTCATAAACCGACCTTGCAACCCACAATAAACGAGAGGTCCTGTATCAGGCAGAACATACACTCCCCCACCATTACCATCATCTCGTTCTTCGGGATCTGCTCGGTACAGTACTCGATTTAGATCAGACAGCGACAGATTGGCGAGTATGGCGTCCAATTCATCAATCTTGTTGTAACTCTCTTGGCTCCCAGATCGTTTTTGGTACAAGTCCACTCCAAGCTGTCTAAAGGAACAGAAGAATAGAAAGAAAAACACCGAATATATAAAACGATCACTCAAACGGTGCAAAAAACCATCCCTATGAAGCAGCAAATAACTATGTGATCTCTATCTTATGTGATCTCCGTCTGGCACTTACCTTAATTGACCTAGAGCATTCTTGACATTGGTTTCCATGGTGATATCAAATGCAATGACACTTCCCGGAGCGAAGTTATCAAAATATACTTCAAAAGTGTTGTTTCCTTTCTGTTCAGCACGGCATGTCTAAAGTGGAATAAAAAAGAAAGTTTCAATTTTCCAAGCACGCTAAGTCGATGACGATTGGATGCAGCAATTTTGTTTGGAACTTGTTGAGAATTATTGGCCTCTGGTTTGAGTGAAACGCTTGATAAGTTCTTTGGGTCAGTTATGAAGCCTTGCCGCAAATTTCACTCGCATTTGAAATTTTCGCTTGAAACAAGTATGAAAACTTAATAAAAACTGTACTTGGATTTTATTATTGCAAGCTCTTGAGTTCACGTGTCTACTATGCATCTATGATGCGTCTAGTATTGGAGTATAGTATGCGTATAGTATGCGTATAGTATGCGTATAGTATGCGAATAGCATGTGTCTGGTCTCTGAAGGAAGGTCGGTGTGACCTTTCCAATAGTCTTACCTTCGCCTCGTGGAGTGGAACATGCCTCTGGAGCAGCACTTCATGTGACTGAAGTCCATTAATAAACGCAGCATCTTTACTAAACTCACCAGCATCTTGCTTCTTTAGCAACATAGCTTCAAAAATGATTTCGTTGATCTCACCTACCATGTGAAAATTATAAATATCAAAAAACACATGTAGACCTTATGTAAAATAGACAAAATAACTAGAGAGAGGGTTTGCCTGATGATTTCTTCTCAGACACGGCCTTTGAGCCCAAGTTGTTCAAATGTAAGGTAAATTCAAATTCCAAATGCCGGAGGGGCGGGGACGTAGGCGTAGGTTCGGGCCTTCCACTGACAGTCGATAAGTACATATTACTGCCTAATATTGAAGCGTTTTTGTTGATGTTGGTGGCACATTTTAGAATCTTCTCTGAGGTGTTCTCAATAAACCAAACATTACACCCATGCCTGTTGGATAAGGAGTACCTATAGCCAGCTTGGCACATATCTCATATGGAACACGTTAAATAATAATTAATACTGTACATAGTAGTTATTTATCAATGTGACTGACCTGGTATGTTAAGAGGTGGAATACCACTCATATGAATCTTCTGCCTGTCCTTTGTGGGTTGAAGATGCTCAGAGGGGTGGTGGAAAGCAGAATGTGCGACTAAAACGACAGTCTTTCTTTTGTCTGGGCAGTGCCTGGTAATGGCGTGAACATCATGGTGAATCTGGTCCACATACACCTGGAAAATAAAGTCAAAACTCACTCAATGGAAAAATTGTTTATGCAGGGTCCTTCTAACTTTTTGATAAAACAGAGGTTAAAATTAACGTCTTCAGTCCCAGAAGAAAAATATTAAAACGTCTACAAGAAAAGATGTGTTGAAAATAAAGAAGAAAAAAACAAGGAAATGTTAAAAATAGATTCCATATGTTGCCATGCGTCTGTTCAGTTACAGATCAAAGATGACGTCAAAATGCAATAAGACCCAAAAAAAAAAAGTGGCTATGGCAAACTTTGTACCTGCGTGTATCCTTCTTCACCGAGCCACCTGTGCAGTTCATTGATGGCTCTTTTAGCCAACATAATACCATCACTCTCTTTTACAAATGCTGCTTTTTTAAGTTTAGAGTTCTCATTTGGCCAAGACAAGTACAAGCGATCTTCTTTTACAACATGGATCTAAAATAAAATTTAAACATACACTCAGGAACTATCTTACAAATCTTTGACGATTAAAGTTAAGATATCTTCAGGATAATGCAATGTTGCTTAATGAAATGTAAGGAACGTATTTGCATAATTATTATATGTCATCATAAGCACCTGTTTTCTTCCTTCTCCCAAGTTCTTTTGCTTCTCAATTTTTCTCCTTTCTTCTAAATTGCTTTTATCTTCTCTTTGCACATTACCCACCTATCCTTCAAGTGTTTGGCTGTCATATTCTCTTTGTTCACTTTCTGTGATCTTCCTTTTCAATCCACCAAAAACCTCACCTATTATCATAGAAAATTTAACTTACATGGTGAGGTACCAGTTCATCATATCCTCTTGAACTGCCTGTAGCACAACATGCCATTGATACCAAAGCTGAACTGGCAATTGAGTCATAGACCGATCGCACCTGAGAAAAAAAATAGTAATGTCATTTTACAAAATTAATATAACTTTTTTCTTGTGATGCTTTTCCAAGAAAATAAACTAAAGAGAAGAGTTCACAAATATTAACTGTTTGACCCCTAGAGATAAAAACCTCGTGGGATACTAATGGATAAACTCACAGGGTTACTTTACTTTCTCTACATTGAACTCTCCTTGGGATATAAATACCGGTCTGCCTGTGGCTGCATTCATCAAAATGCATTCACCCAAACAACACGACGGATGTAAGAGGTTTGGAGGGATATAAGATGCTTAAGATTCAGTTAATGTATTTATTTGATTAAGAGTCTTACACCTCAAATAAGTGCCCACCCTGTAGGTGGGTACCTAAATTCACTGTCTATTGGTACATCTTACATTTTGCTGTAATTAATTTTTTTGTTGCAGAATAAAGTTACTACCTGCTGAAAATGGTGAAAATTGAATACCAGTAGGTGCCCATAGACTCAAATAAATGCCGTCTCTCAAGGTCCAAACATTAAATATGTGCCCAGGGTGCTCAGACTAACTCTAACTTCTTGGGTGGTGCTCTTAATCAAACTCACAGCTGACACATAAACCAGCTGTTTTACAAATCATTTCCAGGTACAGTTTGATTGCAGTTACAAGAAAAAAATCCCTCTGTGAACACACATGTCACAAGTGTACACAAAGGGGATGTGGAGCACTTGCTCATCACAGAACTTAATTGTTTAAATAAATTTACCAACTAATTTTTAATATCATATAATTACTGGTACTTCAGTGAGCTAATTTTACTTTATTATTTATCTTCAACTACCTCAAATGGAGAAGGGTTATCATGTGTAACATCCATAAACAGAGCATGTGCAATGATGGGCACTAAAGGCTTCACAGCTGATGGATGCATAAAGGCACCAACAGTTTCACCCCCATACAGGTAAATCAGTCGGCCTTCCTCATGTGGGTCGTGAGCATTTAGGGCTTCTGTTTGGGAAATAAACAAACCAAAACGTTACAGATTAAAGAAAAGAGAACTCAGAGTGGCCAGGAACAAATATTTTGGAGCAGAGTAGATACATAATATATATAACAACTTAAAAAAGTTAAAATATGTTTGTTACAGTTCCCAGTACAAATTATCCTATCTTTCCAAAATATTTTCAGTTAGGTGACCTTACTTACATGTAGTAAAACCTTTACACCCTAACATCAGTATACATATTCTCCATACTGTTCTCTATACATTTCCTAAGCTGTTGACAAGGAGAACTTGTTCAACAATCAAGTTGAGCTTTTTAATTAGGTGATCATTTCTTTAATTCTGAAGAACTTAACATTTGGTTCAGGAGTGATACATACAGCAGGGAGAAATTAGAGTCATTCAGGTCAGGGGGTTAAATAGACATCAACAGCTAAATTCTCACCTCTTATAAGTGATGTGATCCCCAGTCGGTTCACAAAAATATTGTCAGTGGCTTCAGAACCAGTGAACAATTCTGCCGTAACATACAGGTCAGGTTTCACTTGCCTTGCTGCATCTACAAAGTACTGCAAATAAATTTGACATTTTAAGGGCAAAAAATTATCCAATCTTTCCCTACAAGACTGGTCTTGGTGCACCCAGGCAGTTCACAACAGTTTTTGGGAAGAGGTTGGGAGTCATCCCCCAGTGTCTCTCGATCTTTCTCTACTCACGCCTCATGAATGAGGCATGAGTAGTCCAGTGGTCAGTGCACTGGATTCTGGGTCAGACAACCCAGGTTCAAGTCCTGGCTGGAGCTTGACGTTGTGTCCTTAAGCAAGATGCTTCACTCACATTGCTTCGTCTTCTCAGATAAGATGAAAGGCCGGAGGTCCTGTCTCTTGCATCTGTCAATTAGTTAACTTGGTTAGGCCGGGGACATTAAAGAACCCACATCACGAGATTACTGCGAGGTGGTCTGGCCTGTTTACTGGGAATTGGGGGGAGGGGGCATCTGTAAAATTTCTCTTTTGTTGATTGTTAATTGCTACTGGCAGTCTGAAAAAGTCTCCTGCACAGTGTTGTAAAGTGCATTAGATCATTACATGGTAAATGTGCTATAGAAATTGATAAAATTATTATTACTATAAAATTAATTTATTATTATTATTATTATCATTTAATGATTTAAAATATGGTTCACTTACCTCTGCCACATGAAGTGGTGTACTGTGGCAATTGTCAAGACGAATGCCATCAAATAACCTAAAATAACAGAGTCATTGTCAAAGATATCTACACTTGAAGCATACTCATGGACCTGCAGATTTCACTAAGCACTGACTGAGAAAGAGGCAATTTCTAGCCAATATTAAGTGGCCATTGTCCATAAAAACAAAGATAGTCTTAAGTTGTTAGAGTGGAAGTCGTTTCAAGTATTAATACATCATATCAATAATTATGCAATTAAACAAATTAGTCATATGTAATAACCTGGACATTGCAGGTGAAATAAAGTTTTCATTTGAGCACTTGTTTACGGCTGTTTCTGCTTTTTTTTTTTTTAAGTCAGGGACTTACACTTGTTGCATAAGGTTTGTTTGACAGAAAGAAACTTCAAGAGGAGACTAAAAGACAAAACAGAGACTATACATTGCTGGCCTTTATCTCACCTTGCACAAATCTGTGTATACTGTAACATGAAATCCCAAAGAAAGGGTGCGTCCTCTGTTCCTTTACCATATCGAAGTTTTACACTGTCACCCCATGCTATTACTTCGCGACGGAGATAGACAAGTGATCCTGGTGCAGCAAAGTCCTTCAGAGGGTCACCCCCCATTATCCATCCAGGATGGGCCATGCAAAACTTTGCTTTGTCTGAATACATGAGCTTCTCCTCTTCTTCTACAGTATCACAGTCCCCAGGTGTTGTGAAATAACTGGCAATAAAGCACAAGAGATAACAATAGACTCAGGCTGAACTCAACAACTTTTTACATTATCATTGTTAGTTGTACTCGCTGCAATTACAGTAGGTGCATTGGACCAGAAGTTTCATTTTTGCCTCTTTCATTTTGGCAGGAATGCAATGTTGTTACCTCAAGCATCCGAATTCAGGCCTTTGGTCTTTCAAGCCTATAACAGCCTATCAATGTGAAAGTTTACTTAGGTTTCCACATATATTATAACTGGGAGTTTAGAAGTCTTGAAACCTTGAATCTGAGTGCCAAGTTGCACTTTGTAAGTAGTCCAGCTTTTTCTATTGCAGACTTTGTTCCAGCTCTTTTTCCATGCCACTCATGGCAAAGCATTGAAAGCACACTGTCAGAAAAAATCCTTAAGTTATATACTGGTCTACCGTAGGTTGGTCCATGTGGGTAAAAAAGTGTGCCTTCGGTTTCTGAGTAGGGCCCTTGACCTTTGGCCTTTAGCTGCACGTAAGACTTTGGGTACAGTATTTTCCCTTACAGACTGCTTGCCCAGTAAATTAGATTGGGGTTGGGGTTATGTGTACTTCATTAACCTCTCAGTGAAACCCTCAGTAGTCTTTACTAGGGACCTAATAAGCAACCACAACGGTGACGGCAACGAGGACGTGGAAAAACAAGAGATCTAAATGGCAGAACAATAGCTCAGCACGTGCGTTTTGAAACTTTGTACATTTCTTAGCCGTCCTATGAAAAACAACAACGTGAAATCACCAAAGTTTGCGTCGTCTGCGAACCGAAACCACAACAGCAAGTTATTTTAATTTTCATTTGGAACTCAACCCTACTTTTATACATCATGCTGAAGTTGAGCTGTGGCGCCGTATGAGACAGTAAGCTCCTGCAGCCATGTTTGAAATTCTAACTAAGAGTAAAAATTCATTTTTTAATCGGAGTCTTCCTTGGCGTTGCCGTCCTGACTGCTTAAGGTCCCTATTGTCTAGAAAGTCCTCAACAAAGATGTAAGCTTTTATTATTATTCCATACAGTTGTTAACTTAAACAACAAATTTACAAATTCCTAGAAATGTAAACTTACGTTGTCACCAAAGGACATGTTCTTTTAACTCTTGGATGTCTTGGTCCATGCCCAGCAAGACGTTCATAGCGCACAGTATTTTGGACACTTTGGATGGCAGATTCGATATGATCAGCAACTTTCTTGTTTTTGACTGTGTCATTAAGGTTGTTGAGATGTGCTTTAAAGTCCTCGCTACACAAATGCAGCCGTTGTTTTTCATCCAAGGCATCAGAGCTTATGAAGTTACAACAACATAAAATCAGTTAAAATACCTGAAAAGAACAATCTTTATTTCCAACCACCAATCTTTTTGTTACCTCTTTTTAATTTTGTGAAATTTTTTTAGTTGTAAGTGATTTGTCTTGTTGTATACTGTCTGAGGATTTCTCAACCAACACAACAAAATTTTCATGCTCTGTTTGATGGGTCAAACTTTTTGTATGCATTCGGTTTTTGAGTCTACTGAATTTTAACACAGGTATGCACTGTATAAGTTTGTCTTCTCTGATACTTTTAATGTTCCATGAATAATATTATGTACATGCACATATTATGGCATTATGCAATTTAGAATTTCAGTTTAGGTGTAATGTTACAGTTTCAAGTCCAACTGCAAGTAGTGAAGGAACATTGAGTAGAAATTACATATTATATTCATAATTATCATTATTGTTAGTACTAGTGATAAAACTGTAAGTAAAGTCAGTATTCAGGTCTGGTACAGTAACTGTAAGTCAGAATTAAACTCGCTGAGAAATATTGATTAAAAAAAAAGATGTATTTACCGTTCTCTGTTAAACTTTTCAACAGCCTTTACCATATCAACAGTTGCTGAGAAGCGTTCATAAGATGAATCTTCTGTCAATTCAAGCGGTTTCTCATCTTCTTTTAAAGAGCCACTGCCTGGTTTTTTTACCTTCAGTATGGTATTACGGAACTGATCAACTGCCTTTGCGACATCCACACTGAATAACTCCCATAACCGTAGCTTTGGCAAGACCTTGTGTCTGACATAAAAAAAAAGTCTTAATATCTAATTGTGACATAATTTTGGTGGTAAATACCTTTTTCTTGAATATAGAGTTGTTATAATTTTTATAATAAAGGATTCACACAAAACTTGTTGACAGGTAACTTCTCCTAACATTTCAATGTTTGCACCAGCAAACAGGTAACGAGAATTGACGAACTCGTCAGCAAGATGTACAGTGCTATCACAAAGTGAAACCAAGTTATCTTAGCTGACTGATTGAAGAGGAATATAGCTAGGAAGAAAGAATTATTATAGAGTTATAACCCTTCAACTTATAAGATCTCATTGTGAGTTCTCCCCTTCTAGCTACTACACATTTCCTTTTGAATAAGTTAAAAGAATTTGGTGTTAGATCAGGATAACAACTTCTACCTGGTTCATGATCAAGTACGTATTCTCGTTACCTGTTTGCTGTATAATTCATGCATGGTTATTATAGGGAGAGGTTACATGTTAATCACTACCGGGAATGGAAGGGTAAAAAGAAAGTCTAAATCCCACAGGGATCAACGAACACTTTTCATTCCACTAATTTATTCATGTTTTTCTCATTGCAATGTTCCAACCAATAATGTAGCTCCATTTTCTGCCTTTAAAAGCACATACAACCCACAAGTCCTCTATTCACTCCAATGAAGGGCTAACGCTCAAAACGTCAGCTTTTGTAATCATTACGGTGGCCAATTTACCATTTCAACTTTGTTGATATATCCAAATTATTTTGTTACCCCCACCGACGCAGCCCCTAACAGTTTCTTTAGAAACTATCAGCCTTTAAAGAGAAACAACTCTCCTTAAACTTACCGTAAAATATCACCAATTCTATGTATATGCTCTTCACAGTTCACTTCCGCAGGCAAACCATCTGCAGCCCACACCCCATCAGCTACTTGACAGGTGAAATGCCACAAGGCACGATCCAATAAAAATGCGGGTTTGAGATGAGGAGAGTTATCCAAGTTGTAAGAGCATTCTGGATGATCCCATAACCACGGAGAGTTATTTGCTGTGTGATTCAGAACTATGTCCACTATAGACATCACCTTCCACTCACTGCGCATCTTGTCAAGGATATCCTTAGAGAAAGGTTCATAAGAAAGATAAGCCCTTTAAGCCATAGACACATGATTGCCCTTGGCTGAACCTTTAACCCCCATGAGTGACCAAGACATAATTTCTCCTTACAATATCAACATTACATCAAACACACTACTGATAAAGAAGTAAATCAATTGAGAGATCATTGGCTGATCCAATACCAAATTCTCATAACTTATATCCTAAGAATTGTATGGCAGACAGTAAGGAGAATTACTGATGAAAACTTCGGAGTGAAAGGGTCAATTAATAAATTGTAATCAGTAAATGGTTTGAACCCAGGGGTGACATGTGAAAGTGTTGTGTGATCGTCCGGGTGAGTGTAGTCCTGAGAAAGACTGATGTCCATGATAGTGACTGACATTTCGACAACCTGTGCAGAAGTCATCATCAGACCCTGATGATGACTTCCGCACAGGTTATTTTTGAAACGCCTGAGTCCCCACCACTGACAACAGTCCTTCTCAAAACTACACTCACCCAGACAATCACACTACACTTTCACAAATTGTAATCAATGAAATACTATGTGCTAAATTCAATTACTTTGACTCCATCAAAAGAAGCATTCTTTTTTCCAGGTGAATGGAAAGCAGCATTGAGGCTGAGTTGATCTGATAGAGAATAGGAAGAGTTTGACTTTCCTAATTGTTGTATTGGCGTAAAGTGAATCATGTTGTAGCCAGTTTCTTTGGTTACCTGAGAGATCAAAGCAAGTAAAAAAATTATTGATCAATCAGCTTACAAAATCCAGAATACTTCATTAAAAAAAGTATTTAATAGTAATATTACAATATGTATTAAAAATAGGTATTACTTATAATAATATGATAAAATAAATAGGGAGTTCATCAACTTCTTCCCTTGAATGGGATGTTACTCCATTGTATTGCACCATGCATCCTTAAGAAAGAAGCATTTGTCTCCCAAAAGGAAGCAACATATCTCCCAAGTAGTAACTTGCTACAGAACACCTTTAAACGACCTTCCCCAGGAATTAACCAGGGAAAATTTGATCCACAGTTCTAGGCACATTTGTTCAAAAGGCAGCAGCAATGATCAAGGATTAAAAGTTTAACTTTCCCTTGATTTCTCTTAAAATAAAGGTATATTTACCTTAGGCTGTATAATGTAAATTAATTAATGTAGGGTATAAATAACTGTTGTTCAGGGCTTGACACTAACTTTTCAACTTACTAGCCAAGTGGCTAGAGACAACTCAGATGTTGCAACAATTTCAGTTTGTTTACTAGCCAAACTGGCTAGTGGAAATTGAAAACCACTAGCCAAAACCAAATTTCTACTAGACTGTGGTTAGTTGGCTACCGTTAATGTCAAGCCTGGTTGTTGTTGCTGTCGTTGTTAGTGTAAGATGAACTTGAAGGAAAAATGTAAAGAATAGCTGTTATTACAGTTGAGCCCACGTTACAGCGGTATTAGTTCCAGAGGGTGCGAAAGCGAGGCTTTCGGGTCAATCTTTCAGGAGAAACCAAGCACCTAATGAGAAAAATTCGAGAAAAATAATTACGAGTTCCCCTCCAGATTTTTCATTTTTCTCACAAGAAGAGAGGCTACAATTTCTCAGTGGAAACTGTCCTCGTCATTTAACAAAGCCTAGGCTGAGAACGTGGCTTTCATACCGTGTAGGAACAGCAAAAGATGGTTGTGCTTCGAGTGACGCCAACAAACGTGAACTAATGCACAGGTGAGCGGTAGGATGTGTGATCGTTCCTCCTGCCTAATATTCGTACAGCAATAACAGTATTTTTTTCTCTCTTTTAAATGTATATAACGTTATCTTTTTTTGTAGAATTTTAAGTTACATAAAAAATGGATGGGAAAACAATTTCACCGAAAGTTGGAAACACTTAGCATCTGACTCAAGAAATAATGATGATGTTTCCTCCTCCAGCACGAGTTTTCCGAACACTCCGTACAAGTTTCCACAAGCTGCAAACTGGTGTCCCATCCAGAGTGGTGAATTTCCACCGTTCACAATTGAGAACACGATGAATTACTTTATTGAGAGAAAATCGGGAGATAATGAAGGCAATAAAGACTATAAAAATTTGAATAGTAAGGCTCTTGGACTATTCAGACGTGGTCATGTACAAAATATCGAAGTTGGCACGAGTGAAAATGGAGACATGATCCATATAAAAGGTGAATGTCTGCCCGAGATGAAAAAGAATTTGAAGTACAAGCTCAATGTTACCATGGTCAATTCAGAAGAGGAAGCTGATGAGATCACCTGTGCTTGTTGCAGTCCATGCCCAGCAGGAAGAGGTCCATAATTTCGCCTCTTGTAAACACCTTGCCGCTTTATGTTCCTCCGGTGAAAAACTGAATCTTGTAGGAACAGATCCACTTTTCAGATATTGTTTTCCTCCCACACAACACTTAAAAAAATCTTCAGAAAAGTGCTGACTGCAGAGGTAAGAATGTTTCGACACAGGAGGGTCTTTTCTCTTCATTCTAAGCAACCAGGTTTGAAGAAGCTTAGCGCTGTTTATAGGTAAAGAATGCCACGACAATTTTGAACATTCTGGCTTATTACTTCTGTTAACACATCCATAAGCGATGCAGTGCCTCACCATGATTTTCACAACAGAATTAGGCCGGATGAACTACCAGCTCTGCAATCACAAACGAAGAAAACACTCCACAGGTCAAATTGTCACACGAGTGTTTGTTGAGGTGATTCCAGTTGACCCGAAAACCTCGCTTTTGCGCACTCTGTAACTAATACCGCTGTACTGTGGGCTCAACTGTAATAACAGCTATCAAAACTGTTAGCAAAGCTACACATCTAAACCAAAATTGTTGTCTAACCCTTGGTTAGCTTAATTGCACTTTTAACAACCCAGCCCTGTATACTAGGTATCTCATCCACTGCATTATACATGTATGACTGAGTACAAACCCTAAGTCGGTCACTCCACTCCTCCAGTGGTCCTAAACTCTTGGACAGCACAGTCTGTAAGCTTACACACTCTAAAGGGATGGTCTCTGAACTGTTTACTTTTAAAACTGGATCCACTGAGAAATAACCTGATGTTGTCCTTTTCTCTCTAAATCAAAAACAAGATAAAAAGAAGCAAAGTAAGGTTTGGTGCATATATAGGTAAAGGTAAAAAATTCAATCCTACTGACACGTCAGCCAACACATCAGCCAACACACTAGTGACACAACCAACACACTACCAACATGTCAGCTGACACACTACTGACATGTCAGCCAACACATCAGCCAACACACAAACATACCACCAACACACTACCAACGCATCAGCCGACACACTACCGAAACAATGGTAAGATCAACTGACATGTCGGCCAACATGTCGGCCTAGGCATTGGCCAACACACTACCAGCTAAATCTGCTTTACTGGAAATTAAAAAATTTTAGTGGTGAGTTTTTGAGGTATATACCATATTTAGAAAATAACTTCCTAACAATTCTGTCTATAGGAATACTATGAGTTCTTGAAAAAAGGAAAATTCCAAGAAACAGCACTCCATATTGTTTATCATCAGTTCAAACTTTGATTATTAACTTATCAAGTGAGTGAGGTTGACTGGGAAAAACTCTTTTTAAACTTGAAATTCTTCTCTGAATACAATCAGTGTTTGAAAGTATCATATCTGTACCACCCTATCCAAGTTGTAAGTACCCCCCCTGCCAGCCTGAACATCCCATGCACTTGACTTCATTCTTTTAAGTTTCACATGATATGATCAACCTTTTTCTTCTCATTCTTAAATACACTACCTAGCAAAAAAAAAAAAAAACAAAGGTGAGAATGGAAAAACTTATCAGCTAGTGGGTATTGACCCGATATACATGCAAAACCAAAAATTATCTTGAATGAATTTCTATAAAAGATATAGTAGCTGAAAAGGAAAATTAACAGGGTTAAGACTTAATCATGTAAAGTTAAACATTTATCTATAATTCTCATGAGTCAGACCAAGATAGTATTTCTCCTTTCAACATCAATACAAAATCAAGTAGACAAGTGTTAAAGAGTACAGAAAAATATAAACTAGGGGATTACAGTCGAACCTCGATTATCCAGACTATTCAATTATCTGGACTTTTTCCTCTGGTCCCAATTGTTTTCATGAATATTAATTAGTTGTGATCTCGAAAACTCAAGAGTCACAAAAAGCCCAATAATCCTTTCAAAAGACTGTTGAAACAGCGTATTATCCTGTGCACTTTTCAAAATTCACAAGTGCGACGAGACAAAGAAATGTTCTGAAGAATTATTTGTAAATACAGAGAGGCTGTGTAGATATCACAATAGCCCATTTCCAAATTACCCTTGGTCTCTTTTTCAAAACGAGGCCTGGTGCTCAACCATTCTTGTGAAAATGAGTTTAATTTGCATGTGAATGAAAACTTATTACCATATGAAAGGATGAGCACTAAGACTCATTTTGAAAATGAGGCCAAGGGTAATTAGGAAATGGCCTATTGAAATGATGTTTTCTTTCCTGTATACCTTTTGTTTACATTTCTATCTCATTAATATTCATATTTTTGATTATCCGGACTCTAGATTATCCAGACTATTTACCAAGGTCCCAACAAGTCAGGATAATCGAGGTTCGGCTGTATTAGTTGATCCAATACCAAGTTCTCCACACTAAAAAAGTAAGAATTGTATATAACAGACAGTAAGGAGAATTACTAGTGAGATCGTAAGAGTAGAAGAATTGAAGCAAGACTGGCTTTCTTACTCTTTTCCTTTGTGTTCACCATCTTTATAAACAACATAGAAATGAAATGATCCTGCAGTATCTGCTATGATATCTGCATATCTATCAGCATCATCGCATTCCTGTCCAGGTGGGCAAGTCCATATCAATTCTGTGTACTTTTTTCTATCAAATGAATGCTGGTTGGATGGTGGGTGGTTGCAAAGTAGGTGCACATTGTACGGTTGTAATGAAGGACCCAATGTGAAGCGCAGAGTCCATCCTTATAAGGAAAAAAACATTTACAAACTTAGCTCTTCCACAGTACAGAATTGCTCAGGTATAATAATAATAATAATAATAATAATAATAATAATAATAATAATAAACAGTTTAACGAGGAGAAACACTTAGCTAGAAGCTATAGTTTACAGGTTTTCCATGAAACAACTTAAACAAATAATTCAAATTGAAAATAACTTTGTTAAGAATCCCAACTGGCCAAACGCAAACCAATTGGCTATATTACAAGCATGGGCAAGGATTTGAAACTCGGGGCTACCGTGAAACAAATCCAAGTAGTGGGCAGGGCGGGACTTGAACCCAGGAGCGACAGATTGCAAGTCCAACACACTAACCACTCGACCATACTGCCTTCTATACAGATGAGTACTAAATAACTAAATGAGTTACTTTTCATAAAGAAATGATTCAACCACTTTAAAAAACAATTGTTTTCCCAGAGAAGAAAAAGTGACTTAAAGTATGTGATCATGCAAATTATCAGGCATACCCTAGTGAAGCAAAATATACTATGAATTAAGGGATTTGAATGGGAGGAAAATGCTATGGCCTTCAGTTGCACTCTCTCAATTTGTAGTCGAACCATTTTAGTTTTCTGAATTTTCCAACAACCGTAAAATTCTCCTCTACTCCGCCAACGAGGTTACCAATTTGTGAACAAGTGACCAACGGTTACCAAAGACCCCTGAAATTTTTTTAACTCTCCATGTTCATTAGATTCTGATCCAGTCAAGTTGTAACTGAGAATAAAGGTGACATTAATTCCTTACCAGTTCTGAATAATTCAGTTTGAATTGAATTGAAAATGCAGTTAGAGATTTTTTAATCTTGAGAGAAAGCTCTGATCCTGTTTCTAAACTAGTTGGGTTAACTCATTCACATCTCTGAATTTATAATGAGCACAGATGACCCTAATCAATATCATTTATGTCACGCATTAGGTAAAGAGTAAATTACTAAATAAATCTGCTTGCTCTTTCACTTATAGTTAACTGGTTTTTTTTTTGTTTTGGATAGTTACTTTCATGTAAATTGTAACTAATTGATCAGAGTAGAAGTTTTAATTAACTCAGTGATAAAATAAAAACAAGAAAATGTATAGAAGCATAAAACGTGCGGTGCAAATTGAATAAATTGGAAAAATACGAAAAGGCAACCAATATCTGGCCTATTTAAAGATGTACATAACTTCAGTGCCAATAACTATGTTTGTATTCTATGTTTGCACGAGACCATCCAATCTAAAACACGAAAACCAAACCTTTCAAAAGATTCCTTAGAACAGTGTGTATAAAAGACGAGACTAGAAGCCAAATCCACCCACATTCATCACAATTTTTCTTTTGTGTGTTTACCAGGGTGTAACAGAACACTTGGCGTGGGAATTTTACCGGGAACTTTGATCACGATAATACATTTTCCAATTTTCGCTCTTCCGTAAAGAGTAAAAAAGTTTTGATGGCAAAAATATAGCATGGAAATGTTACAACTTGTATAAAGACAGTTTTTCGGCCCAGTTTTTCTGAGAAAACATCATTTTGCCGAGAAATATGGAGAAATCAGCTGTTTAGAAATGCAAGTTTTGCGCTTCACATACTTTGCTGTCATCCCACTTTGAAAAACAGATACAAATCTGTCAACAGATTTGAAAATCTCCCCAGCATTGGTGATTTGTAAAGCACCAGAACCTCACCTTTCTCGATTCTGAATAGTTTTGTTTCCAGCTCTTGTCCCGCTTCGAGTTGAAGCACTCGTACCTGACCCGCCATTTTGGATGATTCAGTGGGTTCAACCGCGGCTGTGAAGGGATCTGGGCCGATTCTGCATTGTCACGTAAATCTCTTCTTGTACTCGCGTGACAGAGTTGAAACATCAGCTGGTTGCCATTCTCCGCCATGTTTACGAGAACTTTCAGTCAAAAACTCTTATTCATACAGACAATAAAAGGGAAAAATAGAAAAAAAACAGCTTTTATCTGCAAGGTATGCAGGACATCCAGAGTTCCGAATTCACCTGTCACGATTCTCTTGGACTGTGAACTCAAAGGTTTGGTTGTGTTGAGTCACGTCACATGATCACGTACATTTAATTCCCCTTAGCAGACCAATTCATTTTATTGTGAGGACACGAGTAAAAAATACAGATAAAGGTGTGAGAATGTCTTGCCAAAGACACTGATGAAAATTAAAATTCTAGCGCCGAAATTCTCATACCCAAGACATAGTATCTTTCCATTGACGGATTACCACATGGAAATCATGCCTGTTAAGCGTGTTAACCTTTAGGACAAAATCACCCAACATAGCTTCCGGTCAGCCACTTCTGATAAATTGTGACTCATTTTCTAGAAAAGATATTCTCAGGAGTGGAACCCTTACATTTTCCAGAATGGCTGAAACCTCCCATCAAGAAATTGTACCGAAAAAGCCGGGGGGTCAGTAGACGAGCCGAATCTCTCTTAGGAGAGAATTTTTTAGTAACCTATAAGTATATTTGTAATTTGCGTACGAATTTATCACAGCTCCCCACTCCCCCCCCCCACTCTTCCATACCAAATTGCCACCTTATGGTTATCAATTGGTGTACCCCATTGACTCAAAAATTATCCTGAAAGTCATCAATGTTTAAATTTTAAAGCCAAGTAAACAAAGAATGCTTCCTTATCTCATTTTGTGAATATGAATGTACGTTAACGTAAACTTAAAGTTTATTTTTAAAATGTATCTTAGCGTCTGTAATATATCAATGGCATAACGAGCTAAAACCCAAAATAGCTTTTATCTTGTACAACTTTAACGCAAACGAAACAAAATGTCCTCTTTCATCAGGACAGTCATGTTGCTCTTACGAAGCAAAAAACTCAATTTTACTCATAAGATATGAAGCATTTAACACCCGAGATTTTTTTCTGCAACGGTTTGTTTTATAACACTGCTACCTTATCAATCTTTTAAAGGCAAAAACTTTAGACTTGGAAAAAAATTATTTTCAACGGATAGGAGTACATTGCGTGACATGCCCAAGCGCAAAACGTTGCTGTCACGGCAAAAAAGGTATACCAACAGATTTTTTAGTAAGTGTCAAATCCGCGATTGGGTCTGTTTTGCTCACTTAGCTCTGTGATAGGTTCTAGGATACACCCACCACCCTCTAAACCAAACAGATGCAAGACTAAATTTAGCACTCCAGAAGATAAAGCTAAAAATGGTACGAAGTCTTCTAGTGTTGTACACAATGACCAGCTGACAGGACAGGCTTTGAGGGAGAACGCGAATAATACACGCGTGAAAGACAGACACGCGGGTAAAAGTGCTCCCCCTCACTCGCGCATGCATGCGTGCGTGCGTGTATGACGTCTGGCTAATATGCGCACAAACTTACAGAAAGCAATAGAATTTTGCATTAACAAAACTGTGCACCACTCAAAAATATTGACAATGCTAATTTCACCTTTTGCTTTCTAACTATTTGGCAACTTCATAGTCTATTAAGTATGCATGTTATGGTAATGATACAAGCAACATTGCTGAGCTACATCGGTTCACTGGGTCAAGAGAGCATTGTCTCTTCCAAAGGAAGATTGTCTTCAGACGTAATCATTCTTGATGGTTGCTCTAGTTCTCCAGGCCATGTAACTCTTCATTAGCTCGTAACAGAAGTTGAACTGCTCCTAAACAAAGGTAAGCAAATCAGCCAGGTTATCTTCCATTTAGTCTTAAAATCTGTAACCTTAGAGCAACGTCACAATAAATGTCTAAGAGTAGAATCACCGAGAGCATTGATTCTCCTGAGCTAAAAGCATTTTTTTCCTCCAGTATGATTAAAATATGATTACGAACTAAATGCATTTCCACCCTTCAAATCCTGAGAATGACATGCATGCAATTTTTCCTAATTGTAATACTACTGAGTCATTTACAAAGATCATGAGAGAAGAGAAAAATGATCGCCAAACTAAGATGCTTTGATTGTTAAACAAATTCTCCCAGCCAATACTGAAGCAAATGTAAGGAAAAGAGTGCTGAGAACAAGGGTACTGATGTCACGACCCATATCCCAAGTGACCACATCGTGCGATAAACGATCACATTTCTCTTCTAAGTGTTACAGACCACGATAAATAACCACAACCTATTTTACGACATAAAGGATACTAACGTTAAGGCGCAAAAGGTTACTAAGCTGACAAGCGACGAGAATCAACAATTATTTTTTTATATCACACCAAACTCTCCCATCTTTCAATCAAAGAAGTCTGTGTCAGTTGAAGGAAAATATTAGAGATCAGATTTTTATGGAAAAAATTGGATTCCTTTGTGAATTGTTGTGAACTTACCAAGTTAGATACTAGTCCTGCTCTTTGCGACCTAAGCCATCGGACGGTATTGAATATGTCCACAGTATCATCAGTTTCCAGTTTATCGATACTCAAACATAGGGTGAGAAATACTCCAGTGCGACCATCGCCATTACTACAAGGAAGGGATAAAAGCACAGAGTTAATTGGGTCAAAAACACCGTTAAGACGGAAGCGTATTGCCAGTCTCTGGCATGAGGGAACGCTAGAAGATTAGACACTAAAATAAAGTTGTTGATTGATTGATTGTCTCTTAATGAGCAGGCAGCTCAATCAAACCCTTTGTCAATTGGTATGCTAGCCATTCAGTCAGCCAGTAGGTGAGCCAGTCAGTCAGCCAGTCAGTTAGACAGTTGATCAGACAGTCAATCTAAAAGAACCGATCGAAGGTAGCAAATCTCGTCCAGTAGTTAAAGTAATTGGTACCCACATTGAAAGTATCTTAAGACTATGAAGGGTATTTGTGGGTTTGCAAGTGCGTTACCTGCAGTGAACAATGATAGGTCCGTCGTGATACTCCCCAGGCTCCACCTTGTGAACCTGGTGCTGTAGGTACACGAGGCTCTCGGCCCGAGTCAACCCATTCTCCTTCCAGCCGTGGCATTGAAAGTGATACACCACGAGACTGTCGTCGCCCTATGAAGAGCAAGAAAACAATCCGCCAGCCGGTTAGCTCAATGGATAGACCGCTGGACTGTTGTGCGGGAGGTCGAGGGTTCGAGCCCCGGCCGGACCAACACTCAGGGTCTTAAAATAATTGAGAAGAATTTGCTACCCTTCTAAAACATCAAGAAATGGTTAGATATTCTAGTCTTCTCGGATAGGGACGAATAAATGGAGGTCCTGCCTCCTGCAGGGTTAGGGGAAGGAGACGTTAATTTCCTACACGCGAGATTACTGTGTGATGGATGTCCTCCCCTGGGATGGGATGGGTGGCAGGGTGGACTAGCACGAATGGTTCCTATGTTCCTTTCTAGTACTTCCCCACGGCAAAACTTAATGCAGTGAAAATGAACTAAATTAAACTAAATTAAACTAAATTAAATTAATTAAATTAATCCAAAAGGGAAGATTCAGAAAAAAAGGCATATGAGTTGGTGTTGGCCCTTATGAAAATTCTAACATCCATTCGTACTCCTGATGATGCGAACTTATCAAGCAGTCCCACATTTAAACTCACTCCGTGACGCCGCACTTTAAAGACCCTTTGAGTGTGATCCTCGAGAACCTCCTCGTCAATCTTCGTCACCCGAATGTTTCCATATTTGGCACAACCTTCTTCCTCTTCGGGCCAGTAGCGATAACACTGTTCCTGGGGAAGAGGAAAGGAAAGAGAAACTTTAAAACAAAGTTAAAAAGGAGGTCTGAACTTTTACGTTTCACTAATATCTCTGAAGGAAGCGCCCTAAGACACTGCAATCCGCCGAAAAATGAAACACGCAGAGACACAAACAACAAACAAGAAAAATGAATTTATGTAAATGCCCCACTTTAACGATGCTCACAAGGACTGTATTACAGGTGTGTCTTACCACTCCATTTTCCCGGAGATCAGTGAGCATGACCACTACGGTTGACCGCTGTTCCCACAGCATACGCCAAAAGTCATTGACAGTGCTTGGCATGGGCCCTTGAGTGGCGATGTATGCGGCGCCTTCGTTATAGCTCTGATGATAAGAGGAAAAGCCTTGCTTTTAAAGGAAACATTTGTAAGGTGTATAGTCATGGTTCTAAACCCTGGATTCCCTTTTTTTTTATCATCACTATCAATCCTACATTTTTACGGTACCCATGAATATCCAAAGACTTTATTGCTCTCCAATCCAACAATATTAAATTTGATTAAGAATGAACACACTCTTTTTTTTCACTTTAACCAATTGCGGAGGTAAAGAACAAGATCAATGTTCAGCAACAACAAACCGAAACTCCTTACATCAATGAAGGTGGCGTTGATGTAGTCTGAACAAGGGTCGTCTGCAAAAGGCTTTAGGCAAACTCTGTTGTGGTTAACTAGAAAACAAAAAGAGTAAAATTGAACATCTCAAAGGGTGTAAAAAATATGGTCTATCAGTGCCTCAAGACTCCACAAGTAAACGCAAAGAAGCCGAATAAAGACTACACTTTCATGTCGAAACTGAGTGGAAAGCGAAACAAAATTTCTTATATAGATACTGATGAAATACCAGGATTTCTACTTTTACTAAAAAATCATATCTTCACCGCGCGCAGTGAAGATACTATTTTTATCTTTCACGTGTGAGGATATTGGTGTGGCCATGGTTACCAACATACTTACCCAATTGCTGTTTCGAAAATGAATAAAAAAAGTTGTCTTTTATGTGGAAATTTCATCAGTAATTATATAATAAACAGAACATTACATGGCCGCTTGGGGATACGAATTTAATCTACTCATGCTGAAAGTATCTGCGCTCACTCGTGAGAGATACTTTCAGCACTCGAAGATAAAATTCGTATCCCCACGCGGCCATGTAATATCCTCTATTTCTTACATGGCAACAACTCTGGCGAACGGTTTTTCAATGCGTTTTCTCGAAATAACGCTTCTCTGAATGATGCTTCCTGAGAGGAATAGTCTTGAAGGTTCTGTTCGTAAGAAACGCAAAAAAAAGAAAAATGTATTAAACCGGAGGAACCAGAGAAAAACCCTCGGAGCAAGGACGAGAACCAACAACAAACTCAACCCACATGTGACGCCAGGTCCGGGAATCGAACCCGGGCCACAGTGGTGGGAGGCGAGCGCTCTTACCACTGCGCCATACTTAAACAGCCATCCCTACTCCCAAATTATTCTGAAATGAGGCTCTCACCTCAAACTCACGAGTCCTTTGCTCGATAATCTCGGGTTCATCTCCCGTGACGCAAAGAAGATCGCTTCCAAATTCACTTGATGTGATTGTAGTCACACCACAGATGGCTGCGTCTTTAAGGACATCGTAGATAAAACGATACTGCTCCTGAAGCCACAACAAAGTACGAAGTAGCGTCAGATTGATATGAAAGGTACATTCTTGAAGTCAAAGGATAATTTTGAATGTACTTGGAGTAAGCTTTTACATGTCAAATGTGCTCTTGGCAGCACAAGTTGAATAAACTGTGAAAAACATACAATGAAAGGTTGCGTTTTGTTCCTGCACTTATTTCAAGTTATCTGTATACTGTAACGAACATTTTTGAAGCTTCGCTCATGACGGCTGACTTTAAAATCAAAGAGTGGCTGAGAACGGGACAAATAATTTTTTTTAAATCAACAAATAGATTCCATGTTACCGTTTGTCTGTCAGTGATAAATCACAGATAATGTCAAAATGCGGTAAGAACAAAGAAGTGGCACACAAGGCTCAGCCCAGTGAGTCGATAGATAGATAGATCGTTTATTGAATAATACTTTGCAGTCGTAAAAATGAATTGCGTATTTTACAGATAACATCGGTTAAAATATAGAGCTAAATACGATCATATAAATATAAAAGCCTTATATGATAAATCTAGAATAAGTATGAATATCTAAAATTAAAGTCGACTTTCTTTGAAACTTTAGGAGCTATTGTGCGCACCCTGGGACATAGCATAAAAGAAAGAGCGTCCAAAACGTTCCATGTGACAACGTGGCAAATTATACTGACATCTCTTGACGCCTTAAATTATAACTAGATTTTTTCCTTGATGGCAGAAGATGGTATTTGTTGTATCGACCCATGTTGGCCCCGCTCACTTATGTTCTTCCAACATTTTTACGTCATCTGAGATCTATCACTGAACAGACGCACATTCGATGCTCTATACTCTGATAGAGCACGCCCTTTCAACCAATGACAGAGCGCGTTATACCCGAACTTTATCATAAAAGATAGAAGAGCAAACTGTTGTTAATGGTGACGTCATCTATGTTTCTGTCCTCTAATAGGTCATGAGAAAAATCAATCAAAAAGCGAGCGTAATTGAGCTTATCAAATAAAAAAGCAAATGGTAATTCGTCTCCAAAGAATTTGAATCTTACTTCAGTCTGGACCATGTAGTTTCGTTGTTTTCTCATCTGTGCGACAAAGCCATACACGTCTACCACCTTCTCAGTTTCCATTTGCTCCATCAGCGAGTCTATTGCAATGAAGGATCCCGTGCGTCCGACACCAGCACTGAAGATGAGAACAGTGAATTTACTTCTCTAGCTAGCACCATAGCAATATATCAACACAATCTGCAATGCTTGACTATCGTTCTACAAGAACCTGAAACTTGTGTTTTGTTTTCATTACTAAATAACGTGGAGGCTTAGAGAAAAGGTGAAGGCCACATGAGAGAAAAATGAATGTTTCTCATTCAGTCAAATATTCCTCGACGTTTCAATTAAACATATCGCAACTGTTACACTCCCAGACATATTTCTTTAAAACGACGCCTGAGATATTCTTTCAGCCGCTCGTCCCTTTCCAATATTGTTAATTATTATATGGCTGTGTCTCACAAGGACTACCTAATTCACGATTTTGATTGGCTTAAATCAATATTGAAAGCGGTCTAGATTTCCCGTCTAGACCGGCATCTAGACCGGTCTAGAAAAAAAAGGTACAAAGAATATAAAAAATTGGCATATAACACACAGCCATGTAATAAACATCTTATTAACCGACCTAGCTCGGTTCATAAGAACTAATTGTCAATGTTTCGATACATTCTTGCAGACTAACATTGAGAAGGACAGGGGAGGCAGTATGTGTCCTATCTGGGAGTGTTGATCCAATCAGTTTATTACAGTAAATTAACGCGACAGTTGTAAACCATATGATAAAGCTATCTGTGTCTATTTCTATCGCTGACCAGCCTTGTTCCCAGGGCCTTTTCCCTTAGTTCGGGGTGGAGTTGGGGGTGGGGCGCCAACCCCAGCTAAGGGAAAAGGCCCTGGGAACGAGGTTGACCGCTGACCTGCAGTGAATGATAACAGGCCCAGGGTCAGCAACCAGAGTTGTCTTTAACTTGTGATGGAACATTAAGAAAGGAATGGTGTCCCGCGGGACTGAGTGATCGGGCCACGATGTAAAGTGATACTGAACTACCTCTCGCTTGTCTACACTGTCGGGATCTGTTGACTGCGGAAAAACATGAAAACACCCAATTCAGAGCTTTGCATTTTGAAGTTTCTGCCAAGATAGTTTGGGAACAAAGAAGAGGCATAGCAAAGATAATTGTCATAGCACTGGGAAACTAGATAGAAGTGTGGGAAGTGTACTCTACGGAGTGTAGTTGGATAATAATTCTCCTTACTGTGTTTGGAGGCCCAAAATAACTGTTTTCACTTCACTGCACAATCTGTTCACTCACCCAAAGCATAAAATCCCTGATAGTCCAGTCTGACATAACGATACTGCTGAGAAGTGATACAGCCACGTGACCATACTCTTTCGGTTCAGCCTCGTTCCAGTACCTCTCACTTGCTGGATCCTCCTAAAGTTGGACAAATTGTAGAGAAAACGCCCATTAAAAGTCTCCCCAGAGACACTTGCGACTTCCAAAAAAAATTTTTTTTCAGTGTTTTGGGACTATGAGTTAAAATCACTGGACAGGGTAGACTCAGAGCAGTCCCTCTCTACCATTGACGTCCGTCGGGAGAGTCGATACAAATCGGCTGAAGAAAGAATTGGGGCCTGCACATTAGCTCGGCCACAGGCTGTGATGAGAAAATAGAAGTGCTTGTGGTGTAAAGGAAAGGATTCTTTCATTGGTTTTAGAAAGAGGAAAAGAGCAATGGCATGAATTTTCTACAACTTACGTCTCGTCCCTGCATTTCTATCATAACTATAGTTTTTACATTCTTCTCCCACACCATTCGCCAAAAGTCGTTCACTGTTGACTCAAGAGGACCTGGGGAGAAATAGCAACAAGACAGAGGAACTGTAACTAACCCTTACACCCCAAAGAGAGATTGGCATCTAATTTCTCCTTACCATATCACCCCTGAATCACTCATTAAGGTCACGAGAATAAAGGAAATGATCACCAACTAAAACAAGTACTTGATTGTTAAACAAAATCCTACTTTAGGAAATCTATAGAGAACAGTATGGAGAATATGCCTAGTGATTTTAGGGTGTAAAGGCTTACTGGAAATCTTATGGAGATTCTCTAAAACTGTAGGAGACAATAGCGAACTCCTGTGAATAACCTCGAGACTACTAACACAACAATGCCATAACAAAGTCCTTTTGCGAAGAAGTGTTGAACTTCATCCAGGAGTATTAAAAAAAATAAGTTTTCCTCGATTACCTTGCGTCGCGATATACTTGGCTGGAAAACTGTATCCCTGTAAACAAAAATGTTACCTTTAATTTCACGAATTCAAACTTTACCATAAAGGTTGCTTCGATAGCTACGTAGAGTGCTTTTCTACTGAGTGTAGCAAAGCTAAAACAAGAGTAAATAACCAAACAGCTTCATCAGAAAAGAGGGAAAAAATCAAAGAGAACCAATGAGATATTAGAGAGATTAAGCACCATGTTTACGTGAAAAGTGAACGGCAAAATGACCACGTGAACACGTTTTTCCCGCCATTTTTTCAAGTTTGCCGGTTGCGCTTTGCCGTTTTAAGTGAGAGTAACCTGTTTCACTTTTGCCGTGTACGTAGCATTTTCCTCACTTTTTCTCTCACAGGGTAGAAGTTAATTGCTCGAAAAAGTGCACCAAAATCTGTAAGTCATACGAGGGCGCCTTCAAATCCACCATAACGTGACCTTTCGCGAGGTTAAAGCAGTAAGGTTCACGCTATTTAACGTAAAACGTGAAAGGGCCAGGTGACGTTTGCCGTTTCACGTAAACGCCGTAAAGCTACTTTGAATGAAGCGCTAAAAACACGAATGACCTGGTCGCAAATGGTTGAAATTGCGCATATGATTGGCTGAGAAGGTGGAGCGAGCCATTCTCTTGACCAATCACAACATATGATGAAGTAAATCAATGATATCCCGGATTACGTCCAGTTCTACTCTTGATTAATACAAATCGCCATGTGAATCAGCGTGAACTAAATTGATCTTACAAACAGCTTTCTTACATCAACGTAGTTAGCGTTAATGTAGTCTGATCCGGGTATATCTCTCTTGGCTGTGAGCACGACACGACTATGATCATCTGTGGAAACAAGATATAAGGAACGAGGCATACACATTGATTAAAAAGTATGGTGGTATGCTTCTGAGTACGTAAATCATTTTCAAGATGGAAATTGTAATAGTCAAATGCGCCTCCCCACCTCCCCCAATAAAAAAGGAGAGACTAACTAAAGGCCAAAATAAAACAAAGGGTACTTCTTGTGATTGAAAATTATTGGTACAATCAGTTGAAAATGAAATCTATTCACTTACAATTGCAGTTTCTCTTAATATTCATTTAACTGTATGGCGATTTGACCAATAATGGGATTGGTTTGCAGCGAGTAAACACTGCGTTAAAAACGGGACAGCATACGAGATTTCTAGGTTTTCGTTAGGTCTCTACGAAGACAAACGTTTTCAAATCTACTGCATTAAGTAACAATTTCAACTTACATGCTACTACGTTACAGTAGCGATTTTTGGTCCTGTTATGTGGGACCTGACTCGCTTCCCAAGTTGATTTCCAAGCAAGCCGATCAAGGCACTGAAAATAAAACCCAAAAAGAGTAAATGATTTAAAATTTTTATTTTATTAGATCAGTTTGCACAAGAACACTTATCATAAACTCTACACCGGAATTTAATCAAATGACATTATTTTAGATATATCAACAAAGTTGAAGTGGTAAATTGGCCACCATAACGATTCCAAAAGCTGACGTTTCGAGCGTTAGCCCTTCGAAACGTCAGCTTTTGAAATCGTTACGGTGACCGATTTACCATTTCAACTTTGTTGATATATCCAAATTATTTCGTTACTCCCACCGACGCAGCCCCAAACAGTTTCTTTCGAAACTATCAGCCTTTTGACATTATTTTAGTCTTACTCCTAATCTTCATCAATGAATGACAAAGTCTAACCTTAAATTCGTCGTTGAATAAGGCGTTGTTGTTGTCATGGAAATGAGCACAGTGCTCTGCCAACTCTTTCACAGGAACAGGTCGCCTGGGTCGAGCGGTCTGTGATACGATGGACACTTCAAGACAATAACATGTTGATTACACAATTTATGCTACAGATAATTTGTGAATGTTAAGAGTTAGAAGTTAGAACTCCTTGGAACGGGAAAAGCTCGACTTTGCACCAAATAGATTGATTAGTAAGATGTTGTTATCTTTGTGTAGAATATTATTTTTGAACTTAAAAAAGCAGTAACATTTGGTCATGTCATGTACTGTGCATCTTAAAACAACAAGAACAAAACTCACAGGTACGTTTGGTAATGTCTCCTCTTTGTTTCTTTGAACGTCGTGAATCTCGTCTGCAAAACACATGCAAAAACTTTCAAAATGTTGGTGAGAAAGAACAAAGAGGATACAGGGATCAGTTACGTCCAAAAGTGTTTCTCCCATGAGCCCTTTAACCCAGGTACAATTTACCACGCCCTGTTTTCAAGTCCTCGTCCTTACGATGAAAGTAACCAATCACAGAATGACAGAAACTGAGCAACTACGCACCCTCCCCTCCCATAACCCCACCACAGTCAACCGATAGAAAGTCAGGGTTGAGGTTGAGCTAGGGGAGGGGTAGGTACGCAGTTTCTTAGATACTGACAAGGTTCCTTTTATTTCATACACAGGTAAGAATAAGGCAGCAACTAAGGAGAATCATTCATCCGATATTGAAAGTACTAGACATCCACTGTACCTGAGAAGTAGAATAGTTGTGATTACCACCAATAAGAAGAGAAAACCAACCACTCCGGCTATGATCCATACTAACTTAGACTTGAACAAGCTGGGCTCTTTAGTTGGTACACGAGCTGGGAAAGTAATGTTCACATTTTTAATCTTTAAGAGTGAGCAAGTGAGGATTTCTCGAAGTAGACGTTAGTGGTAACAAGCAAAGGGAAGCATTTATCGTTTTGTTTTGAACTTGTTCCTTGGTTTTAAAATCATGAAACTGAGTTTCCATTAATTGTTGATTGAGTCTTAATATTCAACAAGCACCTCTCAATACGGGCGTATCACAGAAACTTAAATCAGGGAGTTAACGTATCTAATGACAGTTGTGAACCAATTTCGTTTCCAGATTCCTCGTTCCCTTGACCAAAAGGGTAAGGGAGGACTACGAACGGGATTGGCTACAAAGTGTCGATAAGAAAGCCATAGAAAACTGATCCCATTTAAGGAAATGAGCTCGGGCTGGAAAAGAATGAAACTGCTTCTGTGCGCGTTTGACAATTGAAGACATGATAGGACAGGTTTCATTCCTGAATGGTTAACTAGAATCCAGTTGCATTCTTACCCTGATTCTTTTAAGCATTTCCAAGCCTTTTCAATCAATCAGAAAGTTAAGATGGATAATTACTGCAAAGTGTTTAGCAAGAACTTATCTGACTTTCATATCAAAGTCTGATGATATCAGAATACTTTATGGTATTTACCTTCTGAAGTCTGAACACTGGGTGAATGTAGTACAGTAATCTCGTCACTCATTTGTCCTTGTTTTGAGTTATACGCTTGGACCTAATAATATGAATAATGACACATAAGACATAAAATTTAGTTCCTCGCTGGTAGGTAAACCGCCGAAGTGATGCTTTGAGCATAAACCCTTTAACGGAGAAGTTTGCTTAACATATAGGATCTGCGTCTTACTACAGCTTCGCAATGTTAATCCTGCCATTTTTTTCAGTTGTTTAACTCAACAAACTAACGGGCGTGCATCTTCTATCGTCCTCAACAGTTTACTTGTGGTCAATGTCACTGAAAACTATAGACATGGCTGTTATGTCTCAATTTCCTAAAGCCTCTATTTCAGTCTGTTTTAAAAAAACAACAACAACAACAACAACAATCACAGTATGACAACAAAACCACGGGGATTAGTTCAAGAATAAAGCTGGTGCAAATTTTAATTATTCGAAATGAACCCCTTTCCTTATGGACAGAACTTCAGCTAAGATTGAAAAGGGACATTTTTAAGCTTTATGTTTCAGTCTTCCTTTTTCACTTACCTTAATCTTGTACTCAGCCTCGACGTCAGGAAGAGTCATTTCATACGTTACATACTCCTTATCGACGTCAGTGTCCACAGTATAAGTTTAAGTGACCTGGTCATCGTCGGTAAAATGAAGTTCGTATTTCCTGAGGACACCATTTGTTTCTTCCGGTCTCCGCCATTGAAGAACTAAACGAGTTTTCTCTTTGTATTTCACTGAAATCCTGCGGGGCGGAGAGGGAGCTGAAACAAAGGGAGGAGTGGGTAAGATTAGACAAAAAGATCGTCTTCTTTCTACGAGCTTCTAAAATGTTCTGAATCTTTTAAAAAAAAGCCTTATGTGTCAAGATTTATGATTTAGAAAGCTAATAATTTTGAAATTTTCTTCAAAAAAGAAATTTTTTATGACCATCTTAGTCGACAGGCAGCACTCGTTGAAAGATGGATGTAAAATTCATCTTCATGAGTATAGTACACAGAAAAAAATTACTAGTGTTGAAGTGCAATAGAATAGCCCGAAGTTTCGTTTTCACTGAGGTGCACGCATTCTACATTTGAGCCAAAGAGAGTTGTTGGCTACACAAGCTATGTACAACCCTATGTGAACGTGTTGTATGGTCGTGTTGTGTGATCGTGTTGTGTGATCGTGTTACGTGATCGTGTTGTGTGATCGTGTTGTGTGATCGTGTTGTGTGATCGTATTGTGTGATCGTGTTGTGTGATCATGTTGTGTGAACGTGTTGTGTGATCGTGTTGTGTGATCTTGCGGGTGAAGGTGGTCCTGAGTAGCAGTGACTGATGCCTATAGAACAGGAGCGGAGGACATTACCAGAGTAAAGTGAAGGTTTGGATATATCAACAAAGTTGAAATGGTAAATTGGCCACCGTAACGATTACAAAAGCTGACGTTTCGAGCGTTAGCCCTTCGTCGGAGCGAAACATAACATCATTACCATTCGCTATGACGAATGAATGAATGGAAAACTTTATTTAAGTGTCTATGTTTTTAGCTATAAGCTAATGGGGGACACTAAAAAATTTAAAAGTCACATACATTTACATATGTAGATGATAGTTATTTACAGTAGATAATTAAAAAGATTATAAAGTTGTTTAGTTAAGTTTTAAATTTCAACGAGAGTTGAAAGGTCGACTTTTCTTATATTCTTCTTGAACGAATTTAGAGTTTCTATCGTTCTTAGGTGTCTTGGTAACTTCGACCGGATGAGAGGTCCCATATATTACAGTTTCGAATCTTGGCAGTTCAAAGTCACTGTTCCGTAAATTATATTGAGTGTTCTTTATATTAAATAAGTCAGAAATATTCTCAGGTACGAGACTGTGCTTAACTTTAAACATCAAAGTGGCAATGTCTTGTGGGGCTAACGCTCGAAACGTCAGCTTTTGTAATCGTTACGGTGGCCAATTTACCATTTCAACTTTGTTGATATATCCAAATTATTTCGTTACCCCCACCGACACAGCCCCAAACAGTACTTTCGAAACTATCAGCCTTTAAAGTGAAGGTTATATGTCAATTTCGTTAAAAATGATTGGTTAATTTTGCTGCAAAGTTATTGGCTACAAGTACCAAGTGGCGTTTGTCAGTTGTGGTTAGTCAGTTTTAAGGATGACGACTGCCTATGTCGCCGTTATCCATTTAAGACTTCAAATCGTACTCTTTTCCTCTCGCTTTCGAAGAATTGTCAAAATAACCAAATCAACATAATGTAACTATAACTATAAGGAAAAAGATTGAAAAATGCGTACCATCCTCTGGCATAATAACATCAACAGGATCAGAGAATTCCCCCCAATTGTCCTGCCCAGCCTCCTCTCGCACCATAAACGCGTACATGTTATGGGGTTTTAGTCCCCCGACTTGGGTCTCTCTCTGGTACGGGTTTCCCGCGTTCACGATCTTATGACCGTCCATTCTGGAGTCAGCGGCGCTACCCACATGAAGCCATTTTACCATATAACGGGTGACGAATTTCGTGAAGCTTGAGTGAGACCGCCAAGTAATAAGAACACTCTGAGGGCTTTCAATACTAAGTTTGACCCCCTGAGGACTATCTGGGACTACAATTAAACGACAAATAAACAATTTAATAGAATCTAATGAAATATAGATTTCTCAGTGCATTTGTTCGATTTTACTTTACGGAATGCATAACATCAAAGGAAGCAAATAAACAAGGTAGTAGTTCCACAAGATAAGAAATAACAAACCAGGACAGACAACAACAGCTAAAGGATGGGAATGGTTAAAACGGATTGCAAATTACGAGATTACTGTGGGATGGATGTCCTCCCCTGGGGTGGGATGCGTGGGTTTACTGGGGGTGAATTGGGGGGGAGGGGTGGTGCCTCGCATGGACCTTGTGTTCCGTTCGCACTAACCCTTCCGGGTCTAGTCACACCCGGTGAAGTCGTTAACAAACAAACAAACAAACAAATGAGGATCACGAACAATCCAGGCTGAATTTTATAAGATGGACAAAATCTAGGGCAGCTCTTTCAAATGAATTTTTTTTCGATACTGTGACCCAAAATACAAGCATCTCAGTACTGTACATGGACGTACATTTACAGACTTACTGACCTGTTTGAGGAGTAGAAACAAACATCTTCTCACTGCTGGGTCCTGGGCCCTTTTTGGTGAATCCCATGATCCATACTCGATACCTAGTCAGCGGTTTCATATTCTCCAAAGTGACATGCGTCACAGATTCGTTTACAGTAATCACGCTCTTTATGACTGGATAACTCGTGTCTACCTGGCTGTAGTGCACGCGGTAGCCTTGGAGTATTCCTTTCACGTGGTGCCGTGGTATGAATTCCCATTTGACGAATACCGAGTTGGGAGTCTTTGCAAGCACTTTGAGAAGGCGAGGAGCGCGTGATGGTACTGTATTGAAAGGAAATGTGGAGCAACGGAAGATGTACTGATAGATTTGTAAGATTACGAATTCAGTTTTATTAGTACTTGTAATATAAAAGCAATTGTCACAAAGCTAATGTTATTGAGTTTGGCCAAGTAATCTCGGTTTCTGTTTTATCTTTTTTTGCGTGCGTGTGCATGTGTGCGTGTGCGTATGTGTGTGTGCGCGTATGTGCGTGTGCTTCTATGGACCGAAAAAGAGACACGTGGTTAATAAAAAGCCAAGAAACCCTAGATGTTACCAAATACCGTAAAATGCCACGTACGAGCCCTGGGCTTCTTCAACTCCGTAAGAGGTTTTAGGTGGGCTTATATATATGGAGGGGCCTATGACCTAGGAGGCTTTAAGTGGCAGTTTACGTTAGTAAAATATTAATTTTCGCTTTTGGGAAACTGGGCTCCACTCGATCACGATACTGTGTGCCCCATTGCCCTGCACCCAAAAAGAGTCCAGAGAGCGGCTTGGGACCCGGTATAAAACAAGCTGGTACTTCAAAGCAATCCGTAACAGAAACCAAAATAAGAAAAATGGCCCATCATGGCCGAGGAAGTTATCAAATGGAGCATATGAGAACTCAAAGTAAAGACAAGTTATTAGGAAGTGGATGGTTAAGCTCATGTATTTGATCGGCTAAGAGGTTGACCAGTCACAACCAATGCAAACCCGAATTACTTCCAAATCTAACTTGAAACTTGCTTTATGAGAAAGATTATATCAGCCTGATAAACGTACCATCCTCATCAGTGGTTACCGTCACGGGTCTACTTGGAGGACCGCTGCCCACTGCAGTGAACGCAGACACCCATACGTCATAAGGCGTAAAAGGCTCTAACGATGTTATCTCCACACTTTGAATTGACTTGTTGACTGAAACGGCTTTTATCACTCCCATTTGACTGACTGAACGTTTTATCATGGGTCGACCCGCTCTGTAATACACGTGATAGCCTCGCAAAATGCCGTGTATGTACTGCTCTGGGACTGGGCTCCACTCGATCAAGATACTGTGTGCCCCAGTGCTCCGCACCCGCAGAGAGTCCGGAGAGCGGCTTGGAACTAGGTATAAAGGCGCTGGTATGAGATTCCTCCATTCTCTTTAACAGATAATACTACATATAGCAACCCGGAACGTTTTAAGGGACCTAACCCGCTAACTCCTGAAGGTGACTAGTATCTAATTAATTCTCCGCGCACTACCACCTTTGAATCAAATATTAGAGTCATGGGAGTAAATAAAATGATCATCAACTTGAAAAGCTCCTGATTGTTAAACAAATTCTGCTTGTCATTCAGGAAATGCACAGAGAATAGTATTGAGAACATACATACTGATGTTAGGGTGTAGAAGGAAAAGTCTTCAATATGCGACACTCACTGTGCTAGTGGTTGGCTTACTGATCTCCTTAGTAATTCTCCATACTGTCTGACACACAATTCTTATGATGTGAGTCCTGAGAATTTGGTATTGGATCGACTATTAATCCCCTTATTGATATTTTCCTTATTCTCCTCACTTGTCTGTTTGACATCGTTTTGATATTGTAAGGACAAATTCTCTCTTGGTCACTCTTGTTGGAAGTTAAAGAGTCAAAACTACAGGTCCGCGATGTTTAAAACCCAACCCAGTCACTGTGATGTGCTCTATGTAGGGGTTTCATTAAAAGCTGGTTAGCAGACTTCCACCAGTAAGACCTCCTTTCGCCGTCTGTTAAGCTTGCAAGCAGGCTTGTGTACTTACAACTTACCATCTTCCATTGTGGCAACGGTAACTGATGCACTTGTATCCCCCAGTCCTTCGTCTGTCTTGGCTGTTACCGTCACGGTATAAGTAGAGAATTTTTTGAGATTTTTTAATTGTGCGATAGATTTTCTAGCTCCTGTCTTTTTCGTGTGAACCTTTCTGGAAGTGCCCCTATAGGTCACATGATATCCTTTTAGGGTAGCTGGAGGGGAGATGTAAACTGGGTCCCAGGTCACCGTCAAGCAAGTGGAACAAGGACTGAAAACGCGTAAGTTTTTTGGAGCCTTCGAACCTGCAAGGGAAAAAATTGGCCGATGACCAGTCTGAATTTAAATAAAAAGTATGAAAAAGAAGAAGCTGATGCATTTTTTGTCCTTTTTTTTTCGTTAATTGGCGTGTTATGTTTTTAGGTCGAATGATTGCAGAGCACCAAAAATCCTGACTAAAAGTCTTGAAACAGTTAAGAAAAGCGCACGTAAAATACGGGTCCCTCCCTTACCTAAGCTGTCCCCTTTTTCCATCTTTTCAATGTTGATTTAGCCTTTTTCATCGTTATTTTCAATTTTAGAAGGATAGGAGAGTCGTTTTTAACAATTACACCGAGGTTATCATGCGTCGGACGACATATATTACTAGCGACCGTTTCTTCTTGTGGCGTCATAAAAACTCTTTCTCTGTAAAAATATTTGCTATCAGAAATTCACACGACATATGAGATTAGTGCTCTGAAATAACAAAACCTTCCTTACCATATTTGGTAGTGACTTTTCGTGTTCGACTAAGGACGCCATTCCTTATATAGCCTCTGACGCGAGTCAGCCCCGTCAGTTGCACCCCGTAAGAAGTGTTCCTTTTGAGCCCTACTATGACCACACTTAGCGTGGATTGGTTCACTTGAATTACGTGGTTGTCTTGGGACACACGAGGCATCCTCCAGTAAATGACGTAATAGCCTCGGAGCACTCCATTGACGTATTCTTTAGGTATCGGTTCCCAGGCTACCCTGATTGCAGTAGAGTTAGTCCTCAAGGATATTATTTTAGGAGCGACTGAAGGAACTGAAAGAAAGACGAGGTTATGCTTAGCTGACAGAGTGCTAGAAAAGTAACCATTTATGATACAGTTTAGTTTAAGGGTTGTCTCCATTTCTAACTTCAGGACGAGTGGAAAATGGTAAGTGCCTCAGGGGAGATACTCTGGGATGTTCTCTTTTGTTTTCCAGGACACCCTCGATTACCAGAGATGCTGTTTGTGAAACAAGCTTGCTCTCCTCCTTCTCGGGAGGTGATTTGTTTCTTTGCTCCAGGTTTCCCTTAATCTCTGCAATACAATATGGCGTCTTCGGCACTCGATTGGAGCACTCAACGTACAGTAGCTTGCCAAGAGAAGCACCTAAGAGGCAGGCCACAAAATTCATTATCCATAACTTACCAAATTCATCAGTCCAAACTAGCAGTGGTTGACTGGTGGGTCCCTCTCCCTTATTAGTGTATCCTAGTACTGTGATCCAATAGGGAGTGTATGACTGCAAGCCACCCAGCTCTAGTCCTAAAGCAAATACCGCTGTACAGTATAAAACGCTTGTGTTACTATCGGCGCGTTTGTAGCAAACTTTATAACCAAGAACATAGCCATTTCGGTGGGATTTTGGGATCTGCCCCCAGAATACAATGATGCCAACAGAGCTTGTGTTGTAGGCTGTCACGTTTGCAGGAGGAGCTGTAGGAACTGCATTTAAATAAAAATAAATATATTAATTATTAGTAAAAGTGTTCTGTAACAAACGCTGCAATATGATTGGCTACCCTACTGGCCTCCGTTCCGTATCGAACTGAGTAAAGTGAGTAGGTTAACTGTAATTCGAAGAATTATGTTGCGTTGTTTCACAAAAGTTCAAAAGAAAGAAGAATTTGACCCCGTTGAAGCAGCTCTGAGCATCTCTTGATTTCTCATCCTGCCAAACATGCGCATCTACTTAAAAAGTTACCTCTGTTAAGTGGCTTATATTTTAAGTAAATTAAATTCAGAATGGGCACGACTGAACGGTACTTCAGCACAGGCCAACCGGCGCCAGAACACAGACGAATTCAGAAGTTTTTTCAGCATTAAAATTCTTACCAAATTTCTATATCCTGAATGTGACAAGCCGATAAGTTCAGTTTTCTCTAGGGGAAATAATAAGACGGAACTCAACGTAACTCGTCTCGAGGCCAAGTCGTTGTACCGTCCGATTCGTTTGGATTGCATAAATGTCAGCGAAAATCTGTGTCCACGAGACAAAATTTTGATGCAGCATCAAGTCGTAAAATTTGACACAGGTTTGAGTTGGTGCAATGATAGTACCAAGAAAGTGAGCTCAAGAGACTTGCTCGATGACGGCAACTCGTACTGGACAGTTCGTTTCAGAGACTTTTCGTCCGACTTTTTGGAGCAACTAACTTTCCTACAAAATTTTATTCGAGTTAGGAGAGCGTTTTGCTTTTGTAAAAGACGAAGAAAATACACGTTTTTTCATAGAGTCGCTCCGAGAGGTCGATATCCGAACTTGAAATTGGACTGTTAAAACACGTTTCGTTACGCGCACTGCCTCCATTTAAATTAAAAATTACTCCTCCTGAAACATACCTGTCGAGAAAGGGGTATATCTTCCAAATCCACCCCAGAAGTTAACTCCAAAATATATAACCCAACTGAGAAGCTATTAAAACGTTACATGGGCAACACTTTGCAATAATTAGTGTCACTCTTGAGCGACTCTTGAGGCAAAGACTACATCTAGAGACTGGAAACCAAATACCAGCATTTCTCCACACCCCCCCCCCTGCTCCCAAATAAAAAGGGTCCTACATCAACGTAACGTAAGTTGCAAGTTTTAAAACGTGACAATAAGATGGCTTAGTTCTTGGTATATTGTCACACACTGGCGTGACATCCAAAGAATGATCTCTCACGCTAGTGTGCTGCGACTTCTAAAACGCACACACTACCTCCTTCAGGCGTCCAGACTTGAGTATATTTTGTGAATCCTCCCCAAGTACCATTCACCAAGCCTTTCCGTACACGAAAGTAATACTGTGTGTGTACTCGAAGACCACGCACAATAACAGTGTTTGTAGTACCAGAGACAAGCATGGATGACTCGTCGGAATTCGTCCCCCATCTTACTTCAAATACAGTGTTATTTGATGGAGATGTTACTTCCCAAGCCAACTTAACTCTTGTATCGCCAGTTACATAACCAACCAATTTGCCAGGTGGCGCGAGGTCAAAAGCTGAAATTTCCGAACAAAATAATAGTCAAGTTTTACATGTTTCATAACAGGCTTTCGTGGAAACTACCATAGCGCTCTCAAGCGTAGATTTAGTGGGTACTTCATATATGCCTGATTCTTTCGCTGTCTCTTACTCTCCGCAAGAACTGCGCGTGCTCAGCTTCAATTGCTAAACACTCTACACCCAACCATTACTTTGCATATTCTCCATACTGTTCGCTATACATTTCCTAAGGTGCTGACTTGTAGAATTTTGTCTGACAGCCAAGAGCTTCTTGAGTTGGTGATCATTTTCCTCATGGTTATGACCTTAATATTTGATTTAGGGGTGGTATTGTGAGGAGAAAATTCTATCCTTATCACTCTTAGAGGTCAATGGGTTAACAAACTTGTATACGCACATTCGTAATCAAAAACCCAATGATAGCGTCAGGTTAAATACAGTTCAGTCGTCTTTACTCAATACCACTAATTCATCAGAATTCCTGAACGGCTAACGCACTGAAAAAGCTTCAGCTCTCGAAAACATAAGTTACGATCTGCTGGGCCGAGCACTAGAAAGTGTTTAATATTTTTTTGGAGTCACGTATTGCGGTTTCAGTTAAGCACATTAAGAAAATAAACAGTATCAACCGCCTCCCAGTTAGCTCAAGGGATAGAGCGCTGGACTGTTTTGCGCGAGGTCGAGGGTTCGAGCACCGGCCGGGCCAACACTCAAGGTCTTAAAACAAGTGAGAAGAATATGCTACCTTCTATATTAAGAAATGGTTAGATACTCTAGTCTTCTCGGATGGGACGAATAAATGGAGGTCCCGTCTCCTGCAGGGTTAGGGGTAGGAGACGTTAATTTCCCGCGCACGAGATTACTGTGTGATGGATGTCCTCCCCTGGGGTGGTTGCTGGGTGGGAGTTGGCTCTGAAAAGCCCCCATGGGGAGTGGTCGATTAACATATGTATGTATGTATGTATCATATCTTTCATCAGATGATACCAAGCATAAATATCACAAGATCTAGTTCATCTCCCATGAGTCCTTTCGAATGTAGGAGTACAAGTTTTCATAATTTTCCGAATCCAAGTGGGGGCTAAAACACTATAAAAGGCGCACACCATATAATAAAACAACACAGTTTCTATTTTTTAGGTATAGTTTTGGGACTCAGCTACTCTGAGTTGGGCCTAAAACATCTCTATGTATAAGAACATAAACTTTATTACTATTGTTATCGCTTTGGAGGGCGCCGAGAAAATAAACACTGTAAAAAAATTGCAACAAACGGTCTAAGCATAACTGCGAGGGCGTGAGCGGGCTAAAAGCCAAAATCTCTATTTTAGCCCTCAAAACGCGCCACGATGCCCGAGAAAAAGATAGTAATAAGTAGGTAACCATACAAGCACTTTGCTTTATCAAAACGTAAAACTTCCTTTTACAGGATTACATTAGTTTTCACGCTCTCTTCACTCACTAACGAAGCGCGTTTTACAAATATTTAATTAGATAGTGTCGGTCGTAATTGTACTCAGAAAACATGAGCTAAAGCTTGAAAGGGCAAAACTGTCGCCGACGGACTTTTACCCATGACTTTTATACAGATTATCCTCTACCGACAGAGGATTAGCTATGAGGAAATTGTGAATTAGAAAAACAAAGTTAATTTAGGGGATTAACCTATTTTTCTGGTCGGCAGCCACAACGCTGAAATTTTTAAGGACAAACTATTTTTATGGATTAAAAAAAAAAAAAAAAAGTGAAATCATACATTCCCGACATATAATCCCTGTCGCAAATAATACTTAAACGGATAAATGCTGCTGATTCGTTCTGTCGCTGTACAAGTTTTCCATAAGTTCTCGTCAAGCAAACGATTTCTTCGAAATATTTACATTAACTATCGATCTCCAAAGTACAGAGTGAATTCTTGCCAAACCGCAAAATGAAGCGCGCAAATAACAACGCTATCTCTAAGAGGTGACAAGGATCTAGTTTCTCCTTACAATATCACCCCTACATCACACATTAAGGTCAGGAGAATAAAGGAAATGATCACCAACTAAAGAAGTTCTTGATTGTTAAACAAATTCTCCTTGTCAGAAAGTTAGGAAATGTATAGAGAACAGTATGGAGAATATACATACTGATGATGGTTTAACGAGTAGGAATCAATGCAATCTCAACCAGTTGCCTATTTTCCAACCCTGATCTCCAAATATGTTAATTGAATTAACACCATCAATGTGCACTTTCGGACTTAAAGAACTTGACCTTGTCTCTGATATCTCATCTCTTTCAACGCGATTTTAAAAACTACCACCAAATTCTCTGCGTTCCTGGTCAAACAAGATAGTGGTCGAGTTCTTACGACACTAATCTGAACGCGCAAGGGAGTGTTCGCGAGCTTTCGTGCGCACGTAAAACCAGTCTGTTACTCGTCACTCAGTTATAATATAAAGTCGACCTGCTGTGAGTTTCCTGAATTCACCGGAAAATGATAACGAACTCTTTTGCGCTAGGCAGCGCTTCAGCTAATTACTCTCAGATAACATCGACCTCCCGTGGGTTGGGTTTTGTATCGTGCAGGGATTCTGCGCTCCCAGGAACAAACTCGTCGAAACTCCCTGTAATAATATCTGTTAGGTCATGCGATGCAACGTTTCAAGCGTTGCGTGACAAGATCTTTCTTTATCCCGCAATCAGTTCCAGTTGAAGCGCTCTAAGAATGGTAACCAGTTAGAACCTTTAAAACTGATACATTGAATTTTTCCGTACCCATCTTTCCACCAAAGACCATATAATTTCCTCCCCCC